AAAGAACTTATACTCGACTGCGTATCACCTCAAACAAGATGGACAAACTGAGCGAGTAAATCAACAAATGGAAATCCTGCTCGGAATGTATGTAAACTACAACATGGACAATTGGGATCAACTTCTACCGATTGCTGAGTTCGCTTATAACTGTTCGCCACATAGTAGCCACGGTCTGTGTCCTTTTGAAGCCTGTTACGGCTATGTGCCACACTACGACATCCATTCGCACGATATTCGATCAAAGTCAAACAAGTTGGAGAAGAAATGGAGAGATATGGGAGAGTTGCATGCGACTGTTCAAGAACAGGTCAGGATGGCGAATGAAATTAGTGCAGAGTACTACAACAGGAGACACAAGAGCATACCAGAAGAATTCAGAAAGGGAGAACAGGTACTACTAAGTACGAAGTATCTTACGACGGAACGACCCAGTCGAAAACTAGAAGCAAAATACATTGGCCCCTTCAAGATCATAAGGAAAGTTGGAAAAAATGCTTTCGAACTAGATCTACCTCCATCAATGAAAGTGCACAATGTCTTCAATGTCACGCTGTTGGAACCATATCCTGAGGATATGATACCAGGTCGACAGATACCACCCCCACCGCCTGTAGTAATTAACGGCCAGGATGAATTCCATGTGGAAGCAATCGTGGACAGCAGAATTCGACGAGGAAAGGAAGAATTCAAGGTAAAATGGTTAGGATACACAGGAAATGCGGCCTATGACTGGGAACCACGAGAAAATGTAGAAGAGTTGGCCGTTTTTGGTGAATTTTTGGAAAAGAGGAAGAGGGACCCCAGAAGAAAGTGAGAATTCGATCAAGATCAACAAAACTGGGTCAGAAATAAATGCATACACAGGAAATATAGCTACAAATAGAGAGATATAAACACACTACTCAATGGAGGCGTTAGAATCGGCTCGGGGACGACGGGCCGAAGCGGGAATACGAATGACGTTGCGAGGAAGAGGAGTACGGGGAGAAGAGGAGGGACCAGCGACTGGCTGAGAGGAACTCAATCCTGTAGGATCACCAGTAGAAGTAAGATGATCCAGAGTTTCATCGGCAGAAGGAGGAGCGTAGTTGGCGGAAATAAGATGAAGGGATTTGTAAAGATCCAGATGTTGAGAAGGGAGAGGAAGGAGAAGGGAGGTAAAGAGATGGATGTAACCCGAAAGTTGGGTCAGACAGGCGGGTTGGTCATGGGCAGGAAGGGATCGATAACGGACCGAAGCCGCACAAAGTTCGTGCTCCAGTACAAAGGTAACCTTGGAAGTGACAGTTCTTGCTCCCACAACGATACCCTATACATCAACATCGACCAAGTTCGAAGGAAATAGACAGGTACCTCACGGAATTTGGACTCAGGATTGTTGGTCTTCACCGAACATTTCGAAGTACCCTTAGCAGAGCATTCACCACACACACCACCGACTGAATTGCATCAACATTGAACGAGTCGCAGCAAGAACTTACGAGGGCCAATACAACCAACACGAAAGTCTTCACCACCATCGAGACGACGTTGACAATCGGTACAGAGCTCACCCTCTAGCCGAACAACAGCACCATTTTTGTTGCGGAGGCGCCAACCTTGGGCCAAACGATCGAGCTAATGATTAGAATCGATGAAACTCAAGAGAATTCGAGGCTTATAGCATTCTTAAACCACTTTACAGTGGGCTTGATGGCGTTGGTTTCGCGGAAACGGTCCAGAGCTTCGTTCTTCAACGCGAGACGAACAGAGGAGAAGGTCATGCCGGCCCAAAGGGTAGCTAACAAGTCAGAAGCGAACAGAACTCGGTGGAATTCTCACCGATTTCGGAGTCTTTTCTATCCTCGAGCAACTTAACCAGTTCCTTGTTGACAGTAACCTTGCGAGGGGCGTGAAAGATGTCACCAAGCTCGTCGGGAACCTCCACAAGTTCGTCGGAAGCCTCAGAAGGAGGACCAGTGGGTTGCTTACCGGGAGAATTTGCATTTTCGACGACGGTAGGGTGTTCGGATTCGACGGATTTGGCGGGAAATAGGTTTTCACCAGTGGCAGATGGCCCAGCACCCCCTTCGAAGTCGAAATATTGCTCGATGACCTGGTCATCGAGGAACAATTGTGCTTCGCGAGAAGGACCGGATTGATACTTCTCCTTAATGGTGTCGAGAGCTCGTCGAGACGCATCAACCAATGGGGGTTGAGAGGAAGCGGCTTGGGAAGTAATTCTCATTCTTTTCGTTTGACGCATGAGAAGTTCGGGGTCGACGTCGGGTAAAGTTGCCAAGGTAGAGGCTCGAGTTTGACGGGAGGGAGTGGAAGAGGACAACTAGTCTCGTCAGCCAGCGAGAAATATGAGGATATACATCGAATTCGAAAGGAATTGCTTACAGTACGCTTAGACATGCTCACAGACAGGTCAGAGTTGGAAGGATGCTCTAAGATATGAGTAAGATATGGATGGATAATGATAGATAAGTAAAAAGAATGACAAACAAGAGGTAAAGAAGGAATGAGGAGGAAAGAAGAAGAAGAAGACAGGAGGTGACTTGGTCAGTAATTTCTCGATCACATTGGAGGTCCGTGCGGGTGACGCGTTTCATGGCAACCGTCACACTAGCGTAGGTGTGACGTCAGGGCGCACCAAAGGTGTCTCAGAACAATCCATGTGAATCACTTGGTTACAGGATTCAGGATCCTCGGCGAGGATCCTTGAGACAGGGGGGGAAACTTGTTACGGGGTAACAACGAATCGAGGGAACTCTATCGAGTTCGACTGATTAGGATGGAGGAAAGCGGGAGTTGGAGGCAGTGCTGCAGTAGGTAGGGACGGGTTTTCCCCTTTCGAGATTTTCCCCACTGGGTTTGCTCAAAGCGGTTTTTCACCTGTCCGAGTATGTACGCAGACGCTTGCAGCAGGAAGGAGACGAGGACAAGGATAGCCGTAGACAGTATATAGTACAATCAGCAAAGTACCAACTTTGCTGATTCTTCAATATCATTCTTTGGCTACATCGATTGCAGAGGAGACACGATTCATTAGCACCAGAGCCCCTAGATTTCCACGAGACATCCATCGAGTTCGACCCAACCTGCGACTTAGTCGTCGTGTTTCCAGTACCGTTACACTCACACTGTCAGCACCAAATGGTTTCTCATTAGGAAATGGCACTTTAAAACCCTTTGGAGCTGTCATTGATTTGAATTCCAATCAGCTTACACTCAAGGACCATGAGGCATCACCAATTCAACTTTCAACAGCAAAATCAAACATTGATCCTAGTGTCACGAACTACGTCATGACACCTCAAATATCCCACCATCAACAACCCTCCTTTGACCATCAAAACCCCTATCATGTCTTAACGTTTTCACCCTACACGTAACCTAGGACATCTGAGACCAACTACGGCGAAGTTAGGCGGAGTTAGGAGGGACCAGGGACAATGGAAGCAGAAGTACGGCGAAGTTAGACGGAGTTAGGCTAAGTAAGGACAATGGGACCCGAAGTGCGGCGATGTTAGGCGGAGTTAGTCGAAGGGAGGAGAAGGACGGCCGGGAACCGGGGAAGTTGGATGAAGTGCGTTGAAGTACGTCTAAGTGCAAGAGGGCTGGGTGAACATCTAGGAGGAGTACATAATCTTAGCTGAGAAGATTGCTGAAGTTCTTCAGCAATCCTTGATTGTTGTCAGTAGTGAAAGCTTGATAGAGATAGCTACACCCACATTGAGATACATTGCCATCAGTACAAACCCTAGTTAGAGTAACTACACCAAAGTACGCCATAGTTACACCCCTTTCGACATCTGCACCCTCCTGTTTGGGTGAGACATCGGGCCCGGAGAGTCAAGTTAGCCGAGGTTCGTCAACCATCGGTCTATTAGAGAGAAGTTATTCGACGACCGTGACACAGGACGGTCGAACCGACATCACAAAATTACCCCTTCCGTCGAATATCTCCCTGTTCAACTTATCCGCGCTGAACTTTATTCGATCGTCTCTGGTTTACTGCGTGTGAGTGGAATGTGATAAGTATAGAGACATATAGATTCAATGCATGCTCTTTTTCCCCTCTGTATTATCATCTAATTATCAGCAAATAATCTAAGTGACTAAAAGTGCCGGTGTGCAGGTCCCTTCAGGAGGATTATTACAGGTTTGCAGTTGTAGGAGGGATCCCAGGAGGGATCCATCGTCTCATGGAAGGTATGGGAAACAAACACCCCTGTTTAGGATAGCCATGTCTCGGAAATGCTCCAACAGGCCACCACCACCAAGACTGCCAATCTGTCTCAATTCTCCGGGTCCAAGACTCTCAATAAAAGCACCTCTCAACTTTTCCAACATCTCACAATCCCACAGTCCCACAGTCCCACAGTCTCACAGTCTCACAATCTCACAATCTCACAATCTCACAATCTCACAATCTCACAATCTCACAATCTCACAATCTCACAATCTCACAGTCTCACAGTCTCACGTTCCCACGTTCCCACGTCTACTTCTTACTTCTCACCTTTCTATCATCCCACCATGTTTCTGTCTGCTAACAATACCATATTATTCTTACAAGATTTCAAAAGCAATATCATCTTCAGTCCCCCTTCTTGGTAGCCACGGACGAATCTTAGACATCCTAGCAGCCATAGATTGTGTTCCGTCATTTCTTCTCTCTTCACGGTTCACTACCAGCTCAACTTTGACTGCTCATGTCCTCTCTCAGTGTTTTCCACTCAGCATCTTCTGGAGGATGTACAGACATTACCAGTATTTTGACGGGACTGATCCCATGTCTGTTTCTCGTCATTGGGCAACAGCTTCTTGCCGAAACAGGTGCAGGAGAATATGCCCGTATCTCCCCCCCGGAAAAAGAATTATGGTCGGAATCGAAGTTTGAGTGTGGGGGCATTGCCTCTTTCTCCCCAGCCGCAAATTTCGAAGACAGAACCACCATACACATCTGCTGCCCTCTTGGGAGCCCGACTTTGATAGATCCCATCTCAAAAGTACGCATTGTTGATAGTTCCATCCCTCCAGAAATTTTGACAGGTCACCAACTCTCCAAGCTGAAGGGTAGCATAATTGACTTGCCAGAAGGATTGCAAGGGTCAGACTGCTTTACGGTTTATATTCTGCCGGAGTTAGGGGTTCCAGAGCAGAAAATGGAGGAAGCGACGGAAGAGGGGAAAGTCCTCGGATGACAGGTACCTTCTGGTGTGGAAGACTTACCATGTCACTTGATTGAAGTGTTTTACAGCTGTTCTGAGATGGTTCTCACACCCAATGGTGTTAGGTAGTACAATCACATCTCCTCCTGATTCAAATGCGGCAGACTCGGCTGTGTCTAGCATGAATAGTGTTGTACCTGTTGTCTCTCCATCACTCATCGGATGATGCTGAATAAATAACAAGTGATGAGACTGCAATTTTCATGACAACAAGGGTTTGAAAGGCTCATGGGCGGCTGTTATACGGTCTCATGGTACTTGTTTCCTCTTCCTACATAAATACCTACCTCTACCGAAGCTGGTCATGCATTTGGAGATACACCGCTTCCGTCCTTCACGTATCAAATACGATGCTCCCAGAGAAAAAACAATGCGTACCGATAGTAGGCGAAGTGCGTAGTCCTGGTAGTTGGTCGAGAAGTATGGGCGATTCGAGAGCCTGACATATCACCTTAATCAAAGTCTAGACCAGCGGTCCTATCTATCCACGCCTTCTCGTCGAAAGAAGTAGTCAGATAGTTTCAATTTCCGCTCTGAGTTTCCCACGTTCGAATGAAGGGAGCGTGTCGTTCGTTCATGTCCGTCCACACGCTTCCTGTGCAATGGGTTAGGGTACAAGTACTGCCTGAATCCTCCATCAGTTCCTTCTTTCCATCAGTCATTTTCCCAAAATATCTAGGGCCCTCATCTTTTTGGTTCCTCTTGTAGTGCCAAATTCAGCCTAGGGAGGATGTCCGACTTGATAGAGGTAACAACAAGTCTCACAGCCGGGCCTGCTACTCACACATCAGACATAGCCAGACAGCACCTTCATCGCGTGGCCCTGGTGTCACGCCTGCGGGTAGACTGCGGTAGCAAAGTACTGCCTTAGATACTGAGGGGTTTTAGTCTCTGGCTCGTAGAGCTTGATGACTGCCTTAGATACTGAGGAGACTGAGATGTTGGGTTAGAACCAACTGAGTGACTTATCAAACGAGGGCAAGAGAATTGAAAAGAAGAAGAAGATACATTGCTGAAGAAAAGAAACTATGTAAGAAGTATATGGGGTTTATATCTAATTCTGAGTCCATTCTGGGATGTGCGTCGTCCTGCGTAGGAACAAGTCGTGATTCTCGATCTCATGTGTATATTCGACCATCAATCAGAAAACTGCGTGGTCTTTGCGACGTGATGCGTACAATACGCTGTTGACCGCACGTAAAAGCACACATGACGACGTAAACCATACGTTCTCCTTGAATCTAACTAAACTGAAGCCTTGGGTCTAATGCCATACCAGGCAGACTAACTGAGGATAACTTAACTAACTAAAGGTTCAGGTCTCTTGCCTTGAAGGCATAAGAGCAGAACTAAACATGAAGATACTGATACTTGGACTTTCTGCCTTGTATGCACAAGAGCAGAGTTGTTGATTCATGACAGGAGCTCCCCCTCTAAGGGCGAAGTCCTCTGAGCCTTGATGATCTCTGCTGAGATCTTTTATGGTTGTGTTGTGTTGTGTTTTGTTGATGAGCCTTTGCAGGAGGGAAGTGATGATTTGGATCTCTGAGATGTTGTCGACGGAAGGTCTTGTAGGCTGTGGTGTGGTTGACATTTTCCCAGGGTTCCCATGAGTCATGGACGCTGGAGTAGTCTTTCCAATTGACAAGGTAGTCATAACCATTGTCGGCACCAATACGAGAGTCGAGGATGTGATTGACAATATATTCTTCTTGACCATTGACTTCAATGCGTGGTGGATGGTCTTGAGGTTGTCGAGGATGACCTTTACGCATGGGTTCAAGAAGGTTGACGTGGAATACGGGGTGAATGTTCATTGATGGTGGTAGTTCAAGTTTGAACGCAAGTGGAGAGGATGTGGCTTCAATAATTTTGAAGGGACCTAGCATCCTTTGATCAAGTTTGAGCGAGGGTCGTAATGTTTGAATGTTACGTCTGTTGAGGAAGACTTGATCACCAATTTTGAAAAGTGGTTGATCCTTGATGTTGATATCCTTGACCTTCTTGTTGAAGTGTCTGGTATAATTTTCTTGAGCTAACTTGATGTTGTTGGCAAGTGTTTGATGAAGATGACGCAGTGTCTGAAGATGTTCTCCTGCTGCCGGAACAGAGAGAGTTGAAGGTGATGGTGAAGTGGGATCATTTGGATGATACCCATAGTTTGCTTGGAAAGGAGTGAATTTTGTTGATGAGTGGACAGAGTTGTTGTAACTATACTCTGCAAGATCCAGAAGAGATGACCAATTGGCTTGGTCATAGTCACAGAATGATCTGAGGTAATGTTCCAAGACTTGATTGACACGTTCTGTCTGACGGACATAGTCTGCGTCTATGAGCTATGGCTATAGGGCCTTGCAGGGAACAGACCTAGTGATGTAGTTTATAGTCTAGTGATGTAGTGGACTGAAGAGACTATAAGTCAATGAGATCAAGTGGCAAAAGATTTGCTAAGTGACAAGAAAATACATTTGACAAGACATCTACGAAAAAGGGCAGTTTCTATATATAGTAAAAGGGAGGGGAGTGAGACCGAACTCTACGAAGTAAAGATGGGATACAATATGAGGTGGGAGACCGAAGGAAGACAAAGATAGATGAGTGACACGGAGATGAAGGAAAAGTATTGCAAGACGAAGAAATAGCAATTAGGTAGGAAAGGAGAACGGACAATGCCGTAGCGGGATCAGTGAAGACGAGAACGGGTAGGTGAAGTGCGACTTCTGCGTATGACTAACCCGTCTATAGTACCCGTGATCCTGACAACCGCCATGACGTTTTGAAGCGTCACGGCTTCCGTCTGTCCCGTAACAATAGATATTCCAGAATTCAGAGACGAGGAATGCAGAAAATGAGCGTGATGTAGCGTACCGTCAAGCGTCTCAACCCCATCAGCCTTCTATTCCTTCCCCTACCTGAAACAGTTTTCCCAATCGGGCATGAAGGGGACAAAGCTGTGTTATCACCAGGATAGCCCATCCTGAAGTAGGCACTGCCTCTGAGATTCTTCCCACGCTCCAATGATGGTTGAGAAGCAGAATTGTTAGAATCACTCTTCCCACGCTCTACACAGCCATGAATATACGGGCCAGTATTTATATAAGAAGAACTCTGTCCCCCTTCGTTGCTCGATTTCTATTCCTTGATTGTGTTGACACCAAGTGTATTCTCTTCCTCTAGCTCACAATATTAGCTGAACTACCATGCTAAATCCCTCTCGCAAAAGTTCGGATGAGATAATTGAGATGGGCAATATTTCTGAGCAGGGTGAAGGAACCATGTCTTATCCAGCTGGTGATGCACCCTCGGCTGAAGAGGTCTCCTCAGCCGGATCGCACAGTTATCCACCAGTAAGCTCTTCTCCAAGTCATGAGCACGCCAGTAAGGGGAGAAAATGGCCATTCAGTTTCCCCGAAACTTGTCTACTGTGTGGTGCTGGCATCGTGGCTCTACTGTACTTTTCCGGCAGCAACAAGAGTCATGTTCCCCGTCCTCATGAATTTGACTGTGCTTCCATGAGGTAAACTCACTCTGCTGCGGATCACAGCCATACACCAGGCCTATGCTGTCCAGAAGGTCATAGGGTGCTGTCTCAGACAGAAGCTGGAGTGTTGGAGAGACCTGGCAGGTGGATAATGGTTCAAGAAAGTGCTCTTCCCTCCGGCGCAACCCTCATAAAAGAAGGTGAGTATAAAGGCTGTTACCATTGGAAGGATTCCGGATCTGAGGAGATTGTCAGTGGTGATGGGGTTCAGGAAATTGAGGACCCCAACAACTCATGATGAACCTGGAAACACAACGTGTGTAACGTCTGCAGTGATCATGTGTTCATGTAACGGAATGCATCATAGGGTATGGTAAGATCACTACTTGGTTAAGGTACCCCTTTTTCATTTAGTCCAAAGAAGGTCGAGCAGCTTGGACAGCGACACGGTTGTCCGGAAATGTGCCTAGTAAGTAATTGTAGTACAGACTCTCCAATCTCCACGTACTTGTCAACACCATCCGGCATTGATTGTGATATGCTCCTGATCTATTCTCATACATTAGGGGATATGAATCAAACTGGAGAAGCAAACACCGGTAAGACGTGAAGTCGAATCTCAAGGAAGGTGATCAGCCTGTAAGAAATACATGCATTTATGGCGAGAAAGTCCGGTTGATGTTCACGACGGAATCAAGTGTTCCGGCCACCTGTTATTCGCTCAGCACTAATTGAGAGTGATAAGGAGACAACAGGAAGAATCTAAGTACTCATGATAAGTTCGGCGGCGTTTACCGCATTGAGGAGAGGACACATGGGCGTGTCACCCATCTCCGTCGGTTCACTCATGTAATACCCTCTTAGAACCTCTGGTCGGAGATTCCATACTTGAGACGATGGTGCGTGGCCATCATCTCCATCGCTTGATTCACTCATTAGATCTTCTTTCCTCATTCCTCTTTCATATTAGATGACACCTAGTCAAGACCACCAAATGTCTTCACGACTGGATGAATACTGAACTGAAGGTGAAGTGAATGAACGACAATCTCTCATCACTGCTATGACTTCATGTTTCATATCTCTCGCATACATGACGCTACCAAGTCTTTTGACTACAATTCAGAGGATAATCATAGCACAAATGGATCATGTAGGTTTTACACTATATCATTGACAACTCACCTGTTGCAAGCCCATCATATTTGCTAATAGAAATTCCTACACATCAACAGTGATCTCTACTCAAGCGACCAAAACGTAACCAGCGTTTGAGCGTAGGGCAGCTGAATATGGGTTGATATGCATATGCATGACAAGTGTGAGAACATGTTGAGGTCTTCCTACCTGTTTGTTTGACCTTCTCATGCTCTGTTGGAATATTCCCACAAATGCAGATGTAGTGTCTGGCTTATCCATTCTTCCTCCTTTCATGAGGTAGAGGTAACCCTGAATCGAGATGACGAGTTTGAGAAGCCCAGGCCCTTACGCTCCGCTCCTTCCCTACCTTTACCCCAAAAGAGAATATCATCTCTCAACCCTACTTTACTTTAGTAACTGTACAGTACCAATCTTCTTGACTCTACATGATCATCTACACACAATAAGAACGTACCAAGATCAACCACAATGAGCAATCAAGATGATATTTCTACTCACCAAAACCCAGACTCTCTTCAGTCTCAAGAGTCAACATCACTAGACGCTTTGGCTCATGCCGAAGAGGTTGGTATGCCGCTGCCGTCCTCTGAGCACGTGCGCAGAGAAATGGAGGGTGTATTGACTGCGGGGAGTAATTGGTCCAATACAATAGATTGGCACCAGTTAGCGGTTGCTGTGGTTGGGGCATTGCTACTTACAATGATCAGACCATCACGTGGTATCCCGCTTGACACTGGAGACTCTCTGGGGACTGTAAATGCAGCCAGGACAGTCCCAGAACAAGGATTCACTCAATGGCCATTGGACACTCCTGGTGATGGTAGGGTGTCGAACCAGGCGAACTCCATTACTGCTCCCGGTAACAAGATCCATGAAGAGCTTTCTCCAGCAATGGGAATGGTGGATTCTGATGATCACTTCCTTGACGAGGAAACTTCATCCGGGGGCAGTGATCACGAGCTCTAGGTATAGGGGAATGAACATGATGGCAACTTCTTTGGTGGTCAGAGGGTAGTGTCGACTTAGGATCGATATCCGTCGCATGAGGAGCAGTCAGGATCCCGGTAATGGATCTCATGCATGAATTGAAGGGGATATGCTGCCTGTAGGAACCGGTAGCATGCTCTGCCGCCTGTAAGGAACTTATAGCATATTCTGCTGTCAGGGGAAAGGGACGGTTTCTTGAAGTTGCCCTTTAGGGTCTGGTGCGTGCGTTCAAAACTATTGACGGATGAGAATTTGAGAAAAATGCCACATTGCCACGAGTGCCACATCGGTCCTCGGGTTGTCCAGGTCATGGGTCGACGATCGACCTACTACTTACTTCGAACTTCTGAGTTGTATGTATGTACAATTCATAGAGAAAAGCAACTAGTCCCCTTGCATGCAAGCTAAATATAGACAAATAGTTGTCTGCGATCCTCTGCTCTGACTTTCGGGTATAGCTTTTTCCTAGATGCTCACTACAGACGTTACCGGTGCGAGAGGATGGAAGGGTGGAAGTGGTGGTGAGTTCCGAAGGTGAGTAACCAAGTGTTGCTATGCTACGTTAATTCACTATGTAAGCATCATCTTCTTTACCATATCCCTCTAATCATTACCCTCTCTAGACAGTAGTCTGCTCGTGCTTAGTCATCAACCCGCTACTTAACTTACCCTATCAGGTCAGCCACGGTACGAAGATTGAGATCGAACAGTGCCTAGGCACCTGTCATTGTGACCCTCATTTCTTTCTTCAATCTTCATCCCATTCCTCCATCTTTCTTCCTCACTTTACTGCTCATCGTTGATCTTGTAACAGAACCTAGCAGCTGGTAGCTATCTTTCCCACTTCAAACCGAAGAACGCGCATTATGACCCTCTCATCTGACGACCAGTAGATTTCCGACCTAACCACTTTTCGTCTCCTCACGTGAGTCCACCTCATCAGTTGACGCCCATATCGCTAACCCCGTAGATGCTAGACTCATACTCGTACAAAAACTTATGACGATACGATATCAATAAACGTTTGAACCATGGACAACCCGTCATTTCTCACGTCATTGGCTTGAAACGAAGTGAGTTCATGACCTAACCATCCTCATTATCCCGCTATAAAATCTCGTCATCATATCCTCTATCCCCATTCCACCTTAGTCTCGATCACATCATCTCAACATGCTCTGACAACTAGATCATATCTTTCCCGCTCCACTTCTTCTATTCTCCTCATCTTTACTCCTCTTCTCCTAACAATCCCACATCCCTCCTCCCCGTCCATACATCTTTCACAAAGCTCGTCTCGATCATGTCTGATCCTCCCCCCGGGACCTCTGGAGGTCCTCCTCGGACACGCGATTTCACCGTTCGTCGTCGTCCAGAACCTCTTGATCTGGGGTTAGAAGCAGAAATCGAATTTGAAGAGCATGAAGATACAGTCGATAAAGTCGGTTGGATCGATACTTCTGAATTCCCAGTCCGATCACTTTCTCCTGAAAACCCAGCACCAAGCAGCAGAAAGTTTAAATTCAAACGAGATAAGAAAACTTCTCAACCATTACAACCCAATCAACCGTTAACTAGGATTCCGGCAGATGATGATCTCGCGAGTGCATTGGGGGCACCTCGTCCGCTTTTCTCGGGTCATACGGCTTTACCTGCTAAAGGAAAGGGAAAGGCCAAAGATTCTACCAGTAGTTTCGGAAGTGATCTTAGACCTCCTATCAGGAGTAAACAAGGGAGGAGTAGTGAATCCCTTTCTGGTACGGGGAGTACGAGTGGGAAGGTCAAAAGTGGAATGTTTGATACGGAGGGAAAGAGCGTTTGGGTCGCATTGGGTGTTAAAAGTGAGAAACCGAAACAGATGTATGCGGAATTGGTGGTGGATGATTGGAGAGGTTTGAGAGGGTATATCGAGGAAGAAAGTCAGAAAAGTGAGAGTAGTTCTCAATGTAAGTCGTCCTCATCCAAAATTCTTCCCTTCCTACGTTTGCTTTCAAGGTACAACGCTTCTGCACTTCCATACGACCCTAAAATCAATTGTCGTGGTGAAGTACTTCCTTTTGTAACTTTTCACGTCCGTGTAAGAATTCCGTAGGATCTTCCGAAGGTTGTTATAGGAGAGACTTCGTTCTGACCGTCAGTCCACAAGACTTCAGGCAGCAGTCTCACTTCCTACCCCTCCAACACTGATTCTCTCACTGGTATCGGCTCAACACCCTCCCTCACTCCTCCTGTCAAACAACACAAACGTCCAGGAACTTCATCCTCTTTCTTTGGCCGGACCAAAGATCTGTTTACTCCTGCAAATAAACTTCCAACACAAACATCACCTCCTGCTCCAGGTACTTCATCGACTGTCGACACAAGACTCATCACTCCGTCCGAAAGTATCCTCACACTCCCTGGGATCACCACAAGTGTCAGTCCAGGTACTTTATCCAAAGGTAAATCCAACAATGTCGTTGATCTTTCTTTACACACTTCACCTTCACCTCTTAAATCACCCAAATATGAGCATTATCCCAATCCTTCTTTGCTTCTTCCCCAACCGAGAATGTCCACTTCATCCGCTCGTACCACCGATTTGTCAGCTGCTCTACTACCTACCTTTCCCAGCACATCAGACGGTCTGCAAGCCATTCAAATCCTCTCTGCCTTGGTGTCTAAACGAGACAAGCCCAACTCGCCTTCGAAGAGACCGAGTACTTCAGCAAGCTCTATGACTTTTGGTTCTCGTTCTTTATCCACCAACGCGTCTAAAAACGGTTGGACACCTCATCAGCTCGTCCTCACTTCCTTCACCGTTTCACCTCGTGAATCCGAGACAAATCCACATGCAGTGGAGGACGTGTTCTCTGTCACAGCTCCTTCGGAAGGAACAAAGACGGTTTGTCATCTTCATCTTTTCGCCTGCCCAGATCAAGGGTCAGGGTTCAGGAAAAGACCAGGAACAGGATATAGTGTCCGTGAACCGGAGAGCAAGGAAGTGGCTAGGAGGAAATTGGGTCCAGCATGTACGGCTGGTTTATGGGATCAAGATCCAGCTAGAAAATGGGTCTTGAGGATAGGGTTCGAGGATGTAGAAGATGGAGAAGGTGAATTGGGTAAGGAGGGCGTTTGGTATTTGGAAATAAAGGCTGGTGGGGAGTTGCAAGATTGGATCGGGCAGATGAAGACTGTCATCAATGGGTTGAGGTGGGTCATCTACAAATTCCGCATCTAGTTCATCTACACAATCCTTCGGCATCAGCACTTACACATCCATGTTGTTGAGTGTTATCGGTCTCTGGCCTCCCTAAGATTAGTCACGAGTCATCGACAACTGACTACTTGGGACATCCAGGGATTCATGGCGATAATTGTGCGCTGATGATGTAGGAAAGAGCACATAATCGATGCTCAACGTGCTCGACAAGACTCAACTTTCGCTTCGGTCTTTGGAGCCGGTCTTGATCTCGATTTAGGCTCCCCGCTCTCATTTCCATTACCGCCTAGCTCCAATACCCAGGATTCCAATCATTCGTCTTCGGCCGGTCAGTCTGCTTCTCAACGAGGTAGACTCCCATTTCTCACCGTTTCCACGAATGCCGCATACCACCCGTCTAACCTTTCCATCTCTCCCAAAACGACCTCTGCGTCTTTCCTTCAAACTCATCTCCCCGAGCAAAGTGCAGCCGCTCAATACGCCAACGCCGCCCGCGCTTCCTCGGATCTCTCTCGTCATAGTCCGGCCAACCCTCCCACCTTTCTGGATCCCTTCCTCTCCGTCCCCGCCTCCGCTGCACCAGAACCCGATCTTCTCGCAGCCTTGTTCGCTGGTCTATCAACCCCTTCGGCTTTACAAGAGATAAAACGGACCAACCATCCATTTGCCATTGCCGCTCGTCGAGCTCGTTCCGAACATCCAGCTATACTGCCTCATTTACCCCTTCCCACCCCAGAGGAATTAGCACAAGTCGACAAAATAACTGATGGACTGAAATCTCTCGGCCTGGTCCAGCGTCAAACTCCACAAGAAGGGAGGTTACAAAGATCACATAGTTTCGATGTAAGGTCTTTACGTAGATCATCAATGGAGTCACATGCGACGAGTAGGAAAGAAGATAAAGAAGAAATATTATTATCCCCTGAAAGAGTTGGTGAAATTTCGACAGGAAATAAACGTGCTTCATGGACTGCAGGAAGACCAGGATTAGAAATCATATCAAATTCAAAATCATCCAATACACTCAATACCTTGAATTCTTGGAACACGATGAATACTTCAAACTCTATGGATACCTCAACTTGGAATAATATCGGTAGTATGGAAACTATACCTTCTAGTCAATCTCTCAATTCTTTAAAACCTATCAAATCTATACCTAGCACAGCTAGTAGTTTAGCTTCTTTATCCGCAGCTTCTGGCACATTAGCAAAAGGTAGACGTAGACCTAAAACAGCAGGTGAAATACTTCCTCCTCAATTACCACCTCCAGGTATGCCTCTTCCTCCAGCTCCGGCATCAGGAATGGAATTACCAGTGAGAAGATCATCTCTTGTTTCTGGTACATCGGAAAGAATGGGGTCTTTTGGAAGTGGAAATAGTTTATTTTCAACTCCTGCTGGAGGATCACCAAGAGAAAGTGAAAGTATCCCATCATCTGTACAGATGGATTCTAGAAAAACCAATACAATTATAACGACTTCTTCAAGTTTGAATACATTACCATCAAGTTTATCAGGATTTGGATCAGTCCAATCTGGTTTAACAACATCGACACAATCGAAGTTTAAAAATCATGGATTGTCAACTCAATCAAGTATGATTTCACCATATAAAAGACCTTCAAATCCCGCTATACCAGGATATCATTCTTATCAATCCGATTTATCACAATATGATTTGAAACCGACTTTGTACCCTACGAACAATCATTCATCCAGGAAGAATTCGGCACAGGAGCCTATTACGTTGCAAGAACTTTTAGCTTCTGGACAATCTCCAAACCAGCTCGTGAACCCTGATCTGCAATTAGCTCAAGGTCAATCGTCTACTTCTTTAGGTATCTCGAATGAGGAAAAGCTGCAAGGAAATCACGATCGATCTGTCAATGCTGTTGGTCACAAGAATCAATCTCCATTGAAGGTATCTTCAACAGATCCGAAATCTTTTCAGGTAGGTCTTAGACAAGGTGCACTAGTTCCAGATCCGAAGATTCCTCAGAGAGGTCTCACAGAGGGAGATATCCACGCCAATTCACCTCTAACGGGCCCGAAAGCTGCTCAGACAGATATCAGAGAGAGGGGACTGAAGAGAGTTAAAGAACATGTTAAAAAACAACCATCAGATTCATCTGATGAACCAGTGGGAATCAAAGTGACTCCACCACGTACAAAACATCCTCGTAGGTTGGGTTTACCAGGAACACCGAGGTACGAAATACAACCTCATGAACATGGTCCAGAGTATCTCGCTACGCCTCCTAGGGAACATTCCGATTCGGATAATGGATCCATGTTTGATTTCTACGAGAATGAGAATGAGATCGAGGGTGGGAAGGAGGATGAGGTTGGGAAAAAAGTCGAGAATGAGAAAAAGGTTAATGATGAAGAGTTTGATGATTGTTCAGATGAAGGGGAAGAAACGACGGAAGCTGAATGGATGTCACGTGGTACTGGTGAATTCCAACAAAAGTCAATTTCCGGTGCAGTGAATAAGATTAGACATACTATCCTCAAGAGTTCTCTGTCTAGAAAAGGGAAGGAAGATGGAGTTCGATTAGGAAAGAAAACCGATAAGGCTTTTGTGTCTGAAATCCCAGAGAAAGGGGGAGTTGACTCAGTTGATAAGTCTATGCAAGGTGGGGTCAACGTGCGTGACGGAGCGGAACAGAGAGACATAAAGGGAAAGGTAGAAGAGATGGAACGAGGGAAAGAAGATTTGGAAGTTGATGTGGAGAGTGATACAGAGGTTGAAAGTAAATTTCATGGAGTGAAAAGTGAGAGTGAGAAGGAAAGATTGGGACCAAAGGAAATTGTTAAGAGGAAAAGAAAGGTCGCGTTGGATATCAGTGAGTAACTTTTCTCTTTTTGCAAACAGATCTTGAATCTCTAAATTCGTTTTTTTTTTCTTCAAAAAGCTTGTTCACCTCTGTGTTTCCTGACTTATCATCACATCGTTTTTTGTCGTCGTCAAGTCCGGGTACTTGATTGCTACTCTTTCTCCTGATTGTCTTCGCCAACCTTCCTCCCCACACACGTTATGTGTCAAGATCAGAGTATCTACTTGTCAATCATTGACCTTGGACAATACGCCTTTCCCTGATCGTTCTTCCGACATCTACACATTGGTCGGGACTCTTTCACTGCTGTCCATGACGATCACTCGATCATCAACTCTTCGATCTATTGGGATAATGACCTTTTCGCAATCATGACCATATCATCCACTCCCACTATTTGACTCACTGAGATAAACCCTTTCTTGTGACTATCACCCTCTGCTTCATATTCCTCCGAGAAGGATATAGTACCTAGGCTGACTCTCAGTGGCGGAAGTCGACGCAAATCCTTCGTTCAATTACGATCCCACTGCCGAAGAACAAGAATGGAATGATCGTCAACGTTCTGTACGATTCGCCATGGATTAGTAGGCAAAGGACGCATAACGATAATCAAGTCTGTCAACATCATTCCTTGACCCCCATCTATAACGCCATTACGCCGTTTCTTTTCGTCATAACGCCGTTTCTTCTTCGTTACTTTTACCCTTTATTCATTTCTCTCTTCTTTCGATCTTCATACCCAGACCTCGGTGTCAAGTAGCATTCGATCCTCGTAGTACCATCCCATTGTTTGTTGTCAGTGAAGGTGAGATCACTACGGGGATTAGTCAGTTTCGGGGTGAATTTACGTTCTTGTCATGTTTATGTCATTTCGGGTATCATGTGCAAGATGATTCGTTTATAACACTTTACCCCTGACCCAAAACTTTAAATGACATTCGCTGATGTCTTACTCCCACCTAACCCTAGTCATCTGATGGACCATCTCAATTCCATCTTCCATCTTCCATCTTCCATCTTCCATCTTCCATCTTCCATCTTCCATCTTCCATCTTTCGCGTTCCATTTACTATGTGATATCTGACCATTTACGCTGCTCAAACTCATTGACGAAATCATCGTTCTCGTTTACGAGTGATAACATCAATTATATCCTTACATGATCCCCGTACAGATTCACGTTTATCAAACTCGATTTTAGCACGTTGTTCCGCCCAATCTGCCAATTGAGTTATACTAGGTAATTCACTCTTCCCCCCTAGATTCTGTGAAATGTTTAAATTGAAATCATTCAGATGGTTCAGTCCTGGTAATCCGGCCATATTACCGATTATATCCATTCCTGTGAACTTTTCGAATATTTGTGGATTGGACGATGAAGAGTTAGGGGGTTGCGCGAGGAATTGTACGTTATTGGATGAAGATTTATGTTGTTGCTCTGCAAATTTTGTGTTATTGGTCGAAGAATCAGGGTGATGGGGAGGAGATAAGATATCGAGGGGAGGTAATAAACCACCTGATTTATTAGGAGCAGGAACGGTTGGGATGATGTTAAGAGGTAAATCATGCCGTGAAGATGAATGTGGATCTTGATGTTGAATTTCGGATGAGTTGGGAATGGAAGGGTTTTGATTAGGTTTGGGAGGTAAGATGGAGGTTAAAGGAAGGGGAAGACCACCGAAAGATGTGGATGATATTGTTAAGAGTGTTGAAAGGGTTTGCATGACTGTTCATCAGACGCCATCTTGACTTGTGAGGGGTGTTGAAGACAGGGAAAGTAAATTTTAGATAGATACACAATCCGAACATAAGGGACTGGGTGCCAGAGGTGAATCATGGGTGTAAGGCCGACATGAATATGATGGGATTTTGGCTTCGATTATGTGATAAAAGGCTTACATTGGATATGTAGTGCTGTTGATCAGTGTCTTCCTTGCAAGAAAATTCATTATCCACGGTCAATGACTTCTGATACGATCGATACTTGGGCAAAGATGAAAGTGGAGGGTATAGGCGTAGCGATATAAATATCCACAGTCAGAGTATCGCGTCCCCTTTCCCCGTTGTTGTGAATTCAATTACAGACCATGGAATGATGTATTTCGAAGACAAGAACTCAAGGGTCATCAATTATCGGAAACATAGGAGTAGAGTACAAAGAGAAAAGATGAGGAGGCAAAATGAAGGGAAGAGAAATAAAGAGAAGGACAGGATAAGAAATTCGAAACCCACATTTTATTTTCTCCTCAGGAATCGCTTTCTCTCCAAATATCTCATTCTCTAAACTCTGTATCTCCTTCAATAACCCTTCTAAATGTGAGACCATCTCCAAACCTAAATTTATATCCCTCCAAACATCCCCAAGTTCCAAATCATTTTTATCCCACATAGGAGGTTGTTGTGGGATCGTACGTCGAATAGGACGAGATGCAGAAGCTAAAAGGAACTGTAGTGGAGACATTGTATTTAAATCAGGTGATGATGATAAATTCCGATAAGATGTAGGATTTTGAAGTAATTTGATTAATTCAGGTGTAAAACCTGTACTTCCTCCTCCTCCTTCGTTTATACCACCTGTCCCAGATGTAAATCCTGCACCAACGTCAACACCCCTTCCTATGGGATTTCCAGGTGTATCCCAGTTGAGATTTTGACCATATCCATATGTATCCCCTGGTGTCCTTCCCGTTTGAGGTATGAAACCAGTTCCATCTCCGAAAGGGATTCCAGTGTTGTTTTGACCATAAGGATATCCGTTTTGATTTTGTCCAAAAGAGTTGGGAATTCCACTTTGTCCAACTTGAAAATTATTCCCAACTCCACCCTGTCCGACTTGAAGGTGATTCCCAGTACCACTTTGTCCACCAGAAAATCCAAAAGGAAAGAACGAATTCGGAGATGGCATTTCGTATTGATTCATATTGAAACCAGTACCAGAACCTTGATCAGGATTATCACCAAAGTTCATGTTGTTCAAAAAAGACATGGAAGGGGAATCCATATCGATAGGATTAGAATCGAATTCAGCGGAGATAGTCGGAGGTAGACCGTGCATCGAGAAAGGGTCTGATGGGAGAGTAGTATTGAATTGAGAAGGACCAGGGAGGGAAAGATCTGCGTTGGTAGGGAAAGGGAATGATAGAATTTCATCTTGAGAAGTTGTTTTTGGTTGATCGGAAGACATGTCTCATTGATTCTGTCAGACTGTGGGAATGTGAGATGAGTGGGTATTTGTTGAATTTAGTAGCAAAGGAAGGTCAAGTAAGTACTCTACGAGCAGTGAGAAGGTGAGGAAGGGGAGGGAGAAGGGAAGTGGCGGTTTTTGACAAAAGTGTAAAAGTGGCAATTTCATTACCTTCTCCGTGAAAGAACACTTTATCTATCTACATAGATTCGATATTTGATGGGAATCCCGTGATCCGGGTTTTGATAAAATTGCTTTTAGCTTCTAAATCTCACAAGAATCTTCCAAGCCATCTAGAATATAGCGGCGTACATACTACCAAACTCCACTGCATAGCATTTCGGTTTGGATTCGAAATCATAATTTGAGACCGAGCAAAAGAAACACAGCCTCGTAGTATAGTAGAAATAGACCTCGAGATGTGATCTCTTCCCCCTCACCGCGCTCATTTCTTACAAATGACTGTTCCAAATTCCTGTTCTACTAGTTCTATGACCCACAACATACCTGATTCCCCACCACCTTCGTATAACTCAATATCTCGCCAGAGTTCAACTCGGGCTCCGACGAGCGATATCTCGAGTAATGAAGAGACCAAGAACAACGACTCCGGATCGGCCTCCACCAAGGATCAAGCGCTCGGCTCTTCCATCCTTGACGATGTATCTGAGGACGAAGTCCGTGATGTGTCCGATGGAAATCCTCCTCCCATATCGTTTAGTATGGGTGCAGTCCCTCCGAGCCAGACGACTGATCCAAGGAGCGAGGAAACACAGTGGGAAGACGTAGAAGGGGGAAGACCACCGAGGAGACACACAACAGGTCATCGGGATAATGTCGGGGTAGTATGTTGGTGTGCAGCCTTGAGCATCATAGTGACAGTATTGATGGTAACACTGACGGTGGAGAGTATCAGGCACACTTACCGCGTGCAAGAGCTTTATGCTCATTCCAAGTCTGGTGTGACGACGAAGGAAGACATGTCCTCCCCGACGACGGAGATGTCTGGTCAGGATTAGCCTATTCTATGTGTAGGAGGTGAGTTACCATGTATGTTTTTTCTGAGACGCATTACCGGACAGAACGAATTGGACTATGAGAAAGTACGAACTCACCGAGGTAGTATATCCGCTCAAAAAAACTCCATTCGAATCCTTTCTTTCGTCTGAATTTTCTCCGCATTCTGGGTCCAAAGGACATGTTGTTGAATCTTCTCATACCTCATAAAGTTAATCGTCATGTATCTCACGTTATCCGATCGGGTGGCAATTAATCATCTCTTTCCTCTGCTTTCTCAGTAGATAGAACCGTATAAAAATCCACTTACAGGGCTTACCGTAGACATGGCCAGATCATCTCGCCCACTTAACCCGGTATCCCGTCGTTCTTCTCCACCACCCCGATCTGTGCATGGTAGCGGGGAGGTAGTCGGGGGAACAACGATGCTGACGTCTTCCGGGGTTGGCTTGTACGAGGCAGGGACGCCTAAGGGTCGGAAGCGTCGTACCTGGACCTGGAGTAACAATGGCACAGTGGAGAATGATCTTTCTCCGAGGTACTCAAGAAAGGAACTCACTAAAAAAGCACAACTCACCGATGGTGTCAACCCTTTCACGACAGGAGATATTCACTCTTCAGACCCACATGGAGAAGAGCGAGAAGAGTTTACCCCCACGCAACCTTCCAGCACTTCAGTGGCATACCACTCCATTGAGGATCTCCCGACAACTAGTCGTGTGGTCCCCACATCGCACCTTCTGCGTGTCAGCACTGACTCGCCTCCACCGTCAATGAGTCCAGCCCTCCACCCCCTGTTGTCTGATGGGAGTAGTACTGCTGGAAGCTCACCAAAAAGATCTTTTACATTATGGCTTCATCGCTTTACAAGACCGGTAGACAGGACCAAGGTGCGGATTGTGAATAGTGGTAAGGGCCAGCAAGGTACTGAGAACTGTGTAGAAGTTGAGTACGCACAAGAAGTACCGGCCGTGATTCGTGAGGACTGAGTGGAGAAACTAGAATATTGTCCGCCTGTGGTAAAAACGTACGTACAGACACTCAAATATGTATCTAGCCATTACCACGATGAAACTGAGGAACTGGGACCTGCTGAAACGTCTACCCATGGATGGTAACCACTAAAAGTCTTAAAATCCATCACATGAGGTACCATCACCATCACCATCAACATCAACATCAACATCAATCGTTCAATCGTTCAAGCAACACTCATCTTCTTTCGTACTCGAAGGCAACATCTCCACTCCTGTTTTCTTCTACAACATGCTTCGTAAGTCACTTACTCTTCTACGACAAAGGAGAAGAGCACTGATACACAGCTTTCCTATCGTGTGAAGAAATGAAGACCACACTGCTTCTCGGCCGTCCATTCCCCGTCGATCTATGCTTCTCTCACTTTTCCTCACTCCTCGCGCCTCAAACTTCACGAAAAGTGAAGAATAGACGGAGTTGACTTCTAAAACTGAAAGGTGAGCATCTAGAGACCACTACTACATAGCTAAAATGACGATTTTTCCTTTCAATAAGAGCTGTGCTTACTTTTAGATTTAAATCTTCAGGTTTCACCCTTACACTTTGTCCTTCCCTTCATATGGAAATGCAGACTATATATCCTCTTCTTGAAACCCCTTTCCCAACACTTTCTCTAATCATCACTCTTACTACGGGTGGCAAATTTAACTTCGACACTAACGAACCATGAGTATTCTCACACAGGCGGGCAGGTTTCTAAATACCATACGATCCTCCGCGACCGTAGCTACCAACGGCGCTGCAGCCAGTGTTCTCAAGTCACCGTTGGATCGTTCGAGTTCCCTTTCTGACGTCGGTCTGCAGACGCCGCTTCAGAGAGATGGCTCCAGTAAAAATGAAGAGTTTATGGTCGACATCGGCGAACTATCGCGAGCGCGGACGAGACAAGCAGAAGCCGATAATAAAGGAGCAGTGGGATGCACTGGTGTACCGTGAGTATCTTCTTACTCTCTAGGTCAATCACTGACAAACGTAGACAGAGACTCTTTGGTGCTGCTACAGTAGCTCTTGCCGCCCTCGCCCTTTCTCATCACTGCCCAGCTCCATCCAATGCCCTCAGTATGTGTGGAACATCACCGGGGGTTGGTATTGGAGGCCTGCGACCGTCAAACTACTTGAAATTCGGCGGGCAGGCCGAAGAGTTTGAAAACATTCCCACAGTCAATCTCGGGCCCGTGGGGGATGGTAACTACACCAACGCTACCATCTCTCCTCTTCACGCTGCGTCGCCAACAGATGCGTTCAGTCATCTCTTCCCAGCTGTCTCGGAAGAGGCCAAAAAGGTTTACGAGGCCGGCATTGCCCAAGATGAGTGTCAGACCTGGAGTGATTGGATAGGTAAGGGCGCTCAGTCCGCCTACAACCAACTTCCCTCTCGCAATTCTATTGTTCCGGCCACCCAGAACAGATTTAGCGGAGCAATGAACGTGGCGACTGATTATGCTTCAGCCGCCCAGAAGGTAGCAGAAAACGCGAGAGATGAGGTGAATGGTTGGGTTTCCACCGTTCGAAAGGGACTAAACGACGGGAGGAAGGTGGCCACTGGGTATGCTTCAACAGCATATGAGCAAGCAATTGACATGACCGCTAGAGCACAAGAAAAGGTGAAGGCTGTCTCAGAAGAAGTATCGACTGCTTTCCAACAGAACGTTGCATCTGTCAGGAATACTCTCAGTGGAGGGTATAATACCGCACAGCAAATTGCGACAGGAATGATTTCCGATGCCGGTACCAACGTCTCTGACTGGTGGGCCTTGGCAAAGGCAGTCTCCGAGTCCGAGAATTGGAGGGATCACGTCCCAGCACGGGCAGGACGCCGATATATCTCGCAGCAGGCAAGTAAGCTGGGAGAAAAGATCCAAACTGGGTGGGAAGAATTCCTCAGCAGAGTTGGGACTGGTCTTGCCGACGTGATTGCTGCTTTGGGATCCTGTGTGGAATCTGTGGCTCAAGGGGCCCAATCCGGCTTCCGCTCTGTTCTTGAAACAATGAGGGGTGTCACTGATAGGAAATTCAATCCACTGGCCGGCTTGGCAAGCATAAGTGTCACTGAGGGACTGGCGGGTATGGGAGTCAAAGGATTGGCAACGACCTCAGGATTCTTCCCCAAGCTTGGAGTACTCAGGTCAAGTCTTAGCTTTCCAAAAGTTGACCTAAGTGATGTCCACTCGGTACCCAATAGTCTCTATAGTCAGCTTCTAAGCCATCCCGGCAACGGCACTGTTGCCACCAAAGGGAATCAGGGACCTTCCGCACTGCGCAGAAGAGCTCCCACCCAACAAACGGTCATGTCTACCGCTCCGAAACCCAGCACATCTTAAGTGAATGATGAGCTCAAAAAGGGGCTCAACAATTATGAGAGTGTGGGGCTAGTTTGACACTCTTACTTACTGTCATCTATTTGGGATACATAGTTACCAAGTCTATGGCCAGTGACTAGGACAAATATTGTACATCCACAGATGATAAGGAATGAATTTGATCCGGCAATCTCTGAACTGTCTGGTTCCTTCTGGACCCCCGTGTGGGCAGCCTTGTATCAACTTGTCAATTCCTCATTCGTGCTTGTCCTCAAGCTTGTAACCAGCCCCTTTTGAGATTTCATAGACCTCGAGTGAGGAGATTTCATTCACCGTTACGGCCACTGAAAGTCATGCTTGGTAGCTCTTAGGTGACGGACGGAAGTCGTGAAGCTTCGGACCGTCAAGAGAGTCAGCGTGACTGATGGAAACTCCCTGCTCCTCTGAACTATCACAACCCCAAGCCATGACCATTCAGAGTGGCACACCTCCTTGACTGTGACAATGGGGAGAATCCATTTAGAATGTTCCACAACATGTGCTAGACGTTCAAAGATTGACCATGACACTACACAACTACAATAAAAGGTGTGGGTTCACATATTGGCGAATCAGCATGGATTGATAATGCTATGTCAGTGAGAGCTCTACTATTGTAATTGTCAGATGCACAAGACCATGAGACACTGAGAGCGCCTACATGTCACATAAGCAAGTATTTGACTGACCAAAACTGACGGTATAGGTGGACATGGTTTTGTGAAATCGATGTTGTTCAGGACCACATCTTGCGTGCGTCATGGAGACCTCCGTGGTGCGTCAGAGTGTCACGGCTTCTGTCCGTCACGTAACATATGAATGAAAAAAACCTCTCACGTCTTTCGAACGGACCACCGCAAACCCCAAGGCTTGCGCATTTTCGTCTCCCTGCCCCTTCTGCCCGAACTCGACCTAGAAGGGTGTTTGATTACTGTCTGAGATGCAGACGTCAAAGGCTGTGCCGTACGGGCTACCCTTGACGTCTTGATACTCAGACATTTAGAAGGGTGGGACAAAGGAGTTCAGATTATCCATTTAACCTCCCGGATTGATTCAACTTAGTCGCTCTCAATCTCAGATGTTCCCACCGGCTCTGTATTGACATATCTCACTACCTCAATACCATGATCAGAGTCTCCACATGTTGTCCTCGTGTCGCTAGAGAATCATACGCAGACTATCGACACGATAGTTGCACCTCTCGGCCGACCGTGATGTAATACATTGACCTAAAATGACATATATTCTCCTCCTTTCATCAATAGCACTGCTTAGTTTTAGATGTAAAACTTCAGGCTTCACCCTTACCCTTTGTCCATCCCTTCAGAGAGAAAGTGAGTATATATTCTCAGCTTGAATCCCCCTCACATCACCTTTTTTCTCATCACCACTCTTATTTTGGGTGGCAAATTCAACTTCGGCACTGACAAACAATGAACATGTCCTACAAGGTGGCCAGCTTCCTACTGGGTACGGGTGAGAAGGATAAGACTCGCAAAGGAGCGCGTGTTGTCAAATTGCCCTCGAACGGCTCCCGAAAACCCATTGATAGTAACTCAACCTGGGGTTCGGCCATAAAATACGGTGCCCATTGGGGGCCGCCAGTCTCAGACGGCCCCGAAAGCTCAAAAGATCTGCCAGCTCCTGAGGAAGAAGCGGATGGGCTGACCGGATCGTTGGAGATGGAGAAGCACACCACCGGTCTGGGGTGAGTATTTTCTTAAGAGCGCTTGTCCATTCATTGATGAAAACAGATGGAAATCAATGGCTGCTGTAGCTGCATTCACCACCCTCGCCGCCTTTGCTAATCCAATTGGTGCCAATACCGTGGACATATATGGGCCATTACCTCAGGATGGTATGGCAAGCATACAACCGTCAGCTCAAGTCTTCGGCAAGGACTTCAACGGCTTTGGTAACAACATCCAACTCTTCCCAAATGTTCCCACCGTCAACCTCGGCAATGGAAATTATCCCAACACAACAGAATACCCTCCTACTGCGGCGCCGCTAACAGAGACATTGAGCAGTCTCTTTGAACAGGCAGGTCACAGCTGGAGGAATGGGGTAGAAGGTGCACACTCCAACTATGAGTCTGTCCGCACAGTTGCTCAGAATGGCTTCAACTCCTTTTGGGAAGCCCTTCCTCTCAGCACAAGGATCAAGGCAGCGAGGCTGGCTGCAAATGTACATGAAAGGGTTGACAACATGACAATTACCACTGAAGCTGTTCGTCCCCTGCAAGCGCTTCATAAACAATACGGTCTGACTTCTGTGGAGATCAACTTTAGCCAACAACATCCAAACAATATGGCAATCGTTCCAACTAGGCCTCTCACTTTTGAGAAGCAATCTGACATGTGTCCTTTGGATGAAGTAGCAACTGTCCTTCCAGAGACACACTCTCAGGATGGTACTACTTGTCCAAATGAGCTCCGCACTTTTGAGAAGCCACTTGACGTGTGTCCCTTGGTGGATGAAGGAGCAACTGTTCCTCGACGGGAACAATCTAGAAATGTTACCGACATTGATTCACAAAGAGCGTCAGAATTGTTGACGGCCGCGGAGCTTGAAGATACTGCTCCAACTATTGTCCCCAAAAAGGAGGTTTTCAACCAACAGCCGATGAACATCTCTGACTTTGGGGACTTGGACGATGAAGATGACCAAGATGTTACCTGCTTCGGTTGTCAACAAGCTTGGGACACTGTCAGGAGTATGGCTCTGAACGCCAAACTTCAGTCCGCGGCTGAGACTGGCTGGTCTCACGTAACAGAAAGCGGCAGGTATATTGGGCGCCAATATTATGAAAAGTTCCCTGCAGTTCTCCATGGGTTTAGACAAGCTCATGCCACTGCCTGCACCATCATGTCCGGAGTAAGAGATGAAATTTTGTCAGTGGTGCCTGCTGTCAAAGCGGCGGCTGAAGCAGTACAATCAGGCTACCAAGTGACTCAAACAGCAGCACAATCTGGCTACCCAGTATTCCAAGAGGCAACAAGTGGTGTGACAGGTGAAATAGACAGCACAATGCGCCACTTGGCTACTGCTTCCGTTGTTGCAGCCATTGCTCTGATAAGGATGGGTAGACAAGAATACTTCAGTCACACCTCTGAGACTTCACAAGGCCTTCAAACTGCCTCTACACACCGGAGAGGCTTTCATAGTCTGCAACATTCAACATTTGAAGACACAAAACCGCCTCCCAGACATAGTGGAGTCAGAACACCTCCTTCCAGTTCCCGTCAACCATCAGCTACAAGCGCCCTGTCTGCAGGATTCGATCGACGCGCTCTTATCTTGAAAATGAGTGGTACACTTGATGATCTGGTTTGACACCGTCAACTGCCATCAGGTACTAGCGATAAGTGACAATCATGTCCTTGGCAAGCTACTTGGACATTGTATGTTCACAGAGGATATGGAATGATAAGGATGCATATGTCTCCATACTGCTTGGTTCTCTCATGACCACTGTGTGGGTCATCTCCGGATCACTTGAAAATCTCTTGTGTGTATGTTAGGTAACAAACGGGTGACATGGCACTTCTGAGCATCACAAGTATGATTATGATTAGCTGAAGACCTGTGACACTTCAAAGGGTCATGACACCTAGGACTGTGACACTGAGAAGATCAGAAGTTACCACAACCAATGATCAAAATTGACTATGCATTGGATCTGTACCTCTTGATTAGGAGTGGGAAGAGACTACAGAAAAAGATTGTATGAATCCATGCATAGGAGGAAGAGACAGCACTGAAGATTTAGATGTGAGGATGCTATTGCGCAACATCTCAATCAGCTGCACCCATCTCCTCTTGATACAAAGCAGAGAAGGACTGTCTCTTCCCAAGGTGTGAAGTTTCTCAGAGTCTGCAGGATATCTGAGAACATGGCAGGTATTCTTCTGTGGGACACAAAGCTTCAGCCAGTCATGATTATACCTGTGACACTTCAAAGTGTCATGTCTTCCATACATTACCTAACATGTATGTTACATAGCTCACGGAGCTCGGAGTGTCGCGGCGTACGTCCGTCACCCAACACACTACAGCATCAAGGACCAATCAATACCTTCTGCCTTCCACGTTTGTTCGCACGGATCTCCCAAACCCCAAGGATCGGTCACTTCTTGTTCCATCGAACTCCGTCTGCCGGTAGACAAGGTCGAACTTTTCAAAATCCTCTCTCTCACGCTCTTGAACGCCTTAGCAAGAAGTGTGATACATGACGTCAGGGTATCCCGTACGCCATAACCTTCAACTCCTCCCCGGAGACGATGCGAAATCGTAAATTTTGCCTTCCAAACGGCCATATTCCCACTCTCAAAATCCCCCCATAAAATCTGGTCTCACTTTACAACGCACCCTGCAGCTCAGGTAACAGTTTCATTGTGAGACAAAAATGTCATCATCAAATTTTGCTCAGACTAGTGACATAACGCCTCAATCTCCCCCCGCTAGTGATGGGGAAGTGAAGCTGGGGAGCATTGGCATCAGCCAGGAAGTTGGGTCTGAGGAATGTCTTCTTCCCTTACCACTCACTACCTCTGGTACTGAGCTTCACGCCAGTGGAGATGATAGGATATCTGATTGGAGACTTACATTAGCTAGTTCCTACCCTCCTGACTTGCAATGAGTGGTGGTTCCCACATTGGACACGGGAAGCATTGAGATGAACAATACCTCTGATGAAGTAGAAGAATCCTCATGTTCTATGCGTCTCTCCAGCTGGTGAGTGTTGATTGACTAAAGAAGTCAGCTGATGGTTCTGAAGCCTTGCCGTTCTTCTTGCAGTGAGTCTCTTGTCTCTTCTATATCATCAATCTCAAGGAACGGACCCTCCAGCAAGGCTAAACAGTGGATCGGACAATCAGTACATTGGACAACTGAATCCTTTTTCACCTGGGATCACTCAAGCACGCCACTTGGCTGCACCCTCACAGACCTTAGGGAATCTGCCCTGTTTTGCTGGTAGGAAATGAAGATTTGAAGATACAATTCCAGGGACTGATTGGTTTGTTTGGTCTGTCCATCAGTCTGTGGATGATACACAGTGTAGAGATGTAGTCTTATCCCCAGACTATCGGTTAAATTCTTCCAAAACTTCGACGTAAGCGGAGGGGTCCGTCTCCGGCCGTGTCCCTGACATCCGTTCTCCTTTATATTCCGCGGAGCTAGATGGAACCTGCTTGAATTGTTGTTACCCCGTGACGCCTTGTCAAAACAGCATATTTTGTCCCAGATGACTTGGTGGATGTTAAAGAGTAAGTGTCAGGACCAGACGTTGAAATTAGTCTGCGTCTATGAGCTATGGCTATAGGGCCTCGTAGGGAACAAACCTAGTGATGTAGTTTATGGTCTAGTGATGTAGTGGAACGAAGAGACTATAAGTCGATGAGATCAAGTGGCAAAAGATTTGCTAAGTGACGAGAAAAGACATTCGACAAGACATCTACGAAAAAGGGGTGTTTCTATATACTAAAAAGTGAGCGGAGTAATACCGAATCTACAGAGTAAATGTGAAAAGCGATATGGGGTGTAAGAGCGAAGGAAGACGGAGATAGATGAGGGACACAGAGATGAAGAAAAGTATAGCATGGTAAAGAAGTAGCGATTAGGTGGAACAGGAGAACGGAGGACGCCGTAGCGGGATTAGTGAGGCGGGGACGGGAACGGGTAGGTGGAGTACGACTTCTGCGTACAACTCTTGGGGAACCCGTCTATAGGTACCCGTGATCCTGACATTACTCTCCCACTTCGGTAGACGTCGTCTCGACGTCGTCTCGACGTCGTCTAGTCTTGTAGAAAAACAAAATTCCACTAAATCAAAAGTGGCATGTGGCACTTTTTTATTAGAAGTGATGGTAGTGAGGACAGTAATGATGGTAGTGAGGGCGCATGTTGTGATCGAGACAACGCCCTAAATTATGACGTGTAATTCAATATCACACTGTCTGATCTCGAGATCCACTTTCCTGTATCCTCTTCTCTTCTTCTTCCTTTTACCTCATCACTTTCTTTTGCTAACATCCTTGATTTTTTGCTGCGAACCTCATCTAGACTTTCTATCCCTCATCTAGACTTTCTATCTCATGATTTACCATGTCTGACACCGGCAGTGACGATCATCGTCCCCCGTTTCCTCCTCATGCTCCTGTGAGAACTTTCCTAAAAGCGATATTTCCTGGCTGACGATATTCTTTTTGGTGGTAGGTTTCGGGGCCAAACGATTTACGACAAGGGGCTACCGGGGATGAGAACGCTGTGCCTCCTCCCTCAGAAACGGGCGGTCGTAGACCTCTGCAGGGTGAGAACAATCCCGATGTCGGGACCCCGTTTGCCGGCGTGCCGGTACAACATCCCGCGGAGCCTGATACAGTTTCGGGGTCAAAGGTCGCATATCGAACTCCATTGGCGCGAGCTGCGGGGAGAGGTCTTTTGGATTCCGTTGGGGCTCCTTACATTGAGGATGGCGAGGTTATTGTTCCAAAAGAAGGGGGTCATCAGAATGCGTATAACGATGTCGAAATCGTTCCAATTACCACAGAAAGCCCAACCGCCCAGGTAAGCTTCTTCTCAAGCCCCTTTCTGAAAACGCTAAACGGGGTAGGGGTTTCTGAAATACCTCGAAGCGTGGTCCGATTTGAAAGCTGCGTCAACCAAGGAGAAGGTCAAACCGATTATAGACCTGTTGAAAACGAAAGGCGAAATCATCGGTAGATTGGCTGAACCCTGCTCGAATTGTTTGGAGATGCTGAAGGAGTGGAAGGGTAGGTGGTCCTCGAAAATGAAGAAGTGGCACTGCCTAGGCCCAATTGTAAGATTCTCCGGTTCTCGTAAGGTGTGGATCGCTGGCCAGTAAGTCCATTACGCATTCTCGGCGAGGGGTAGTCGCTGAGCGGGAAGTTGCTTTTGGTGCCTCATTGATAGGGGCACCTGTAATCTATGTGCGGACTCCCGCGTTGGACCTCGGTCCCAGTTGAAACTCTCGATGGCGCAGTTCTCGGCTCTTTTTCCCCCTCTCCATTCGGCTTTGGCCCATTTGGCCGAGGCAGGCAATCATCTACATCAGCCGGCAAATCGTGATTTTCAACATGTGGATATTGCGTATGCTATGGTGGAGAAAGTCGCTCTAGTAGGCTATTATACTTTCGGGGTGGGCTTTCCGCTAACCAAGTAGGCCGTTGACGGAGCGAAAATACAGGGTGAAGACAAGCGAGTTCCCAGTCGTACATTCGGAGAGTGGTCGTCGTATTATCTAGACGACCATATCACAGTTGGATCGTGGCAATTCAAGCCTCCCCGACCGGGTGCCAAGAGAACCGTTTCCCCCTTGCCCGCAGGGACTTCGTCCATTCCCAGGGCGAAGAAGGCCAAGACGAGAAAGGGAAAGGCCCGTGAGGATTCTCCCCACACAGATGACGATGGGCTAGTACGATGGGAGTCCCCCAAATAGTCTGTTGGATTGGGGTGTGTGTGTATAATGAAATCTATTTTGGAGAAACCAATTTGTAGAGTATCTAAAAGATTTTGTGAAACATGTGATCCCTTTTCTTGTCTTGTCGAAGTATATTTGATTCTAGGTGTTTCCGGAAACCTAATAGGTTTCCGAAAACCGCGACCGTTCGGTCGGTTTTCTTTGTCTCTTAGCCGGGAGAATGGGAATGAAATCCTCGTTCACATCATCGGCAACGGCTCTCCGCATTTCGCAAAGCTTCAAGTATTCCTTGACTTTGGGATTATCACTAATCAAATCCATAGGTTGCCAAGTAGCTTCTTCTACTGGGTAGCCACCCCATTTGATTTTCAGTTGAACCTCCTTTTTTCCTTTTCCGGAGACTCTGATTGTTCTTTTCGCAAGGACCTTATTGATTTCGTAAGTGTCCTTCTCAGACTCCTGGGGTTCTTCGCGTAATGCGACCATTGCTGCCTGCGGAGAATTTCCCCTTGAACTTTTGATAATAGCTTCACATTGAAAACCGAATGAATACCATTCACGATCATATGTGGGGGTAAATCAATTTTATAAGCATTGTCATTGATTTTCTTTAGAACCTTGAAGGGACCGATGTATTTGTTATCCAATTTCTTCATGGGCCTTAAGGTTCTGAGGTTCCTGCTGTCTATCCAAACTTTCTCCCCCTTCTCAAAAACAGCTATCTTTCTTCCTTTGTCGTACTGATGCTTATATGATTCTGAGCTTTCCGAAGATTTTCTTTCAGCCTTTCCTGTAATCGTCCTAGGGCGCTAACACGTGCGATAGCTGGTGGAGAGGGTAAGTCGGTGGCCTTGTCAAAAATTGGCTGCATCATGTCGGTTCGGTATTCCCTTCCTGAGTAAGCAGAAAGAGGGGACATCTGGATTGAGCTATGGTAGTTCGTGTTATAGCAGAGTTCTGCAAAATGTAAAAGCGAACTCCAATTGTCCTGTTCCGTATTGACGTATACGCGAAGGTATTGCTCAAGCCACTGATTAATTCTCTCTGTTTGGCCGTCGGTTTGGGGGTGATAGGCGGTAGAATACCTCAAATCTGTTCCCAATAATGTCGTTAAGGTTTTCCAAAACCTGGAAACAAATATGCTACCCCGGTCCGAGACAATCGAATCAGGGATCCCGAATCTGGTATAGATCTTTTCAATAAATAGCTCTGTGAAATCTTCTGCCGACAGTGTGGTAACTGTAGGTATGAAGACTGCCATCTTTGTTAGACGGTCTACTACCACCAATATGGCATTGAAATTCTTTGAGCGTGGGAGGGGACCGATAAAGTCGCAAGTGATTTCCGACCAGGGGGCTCCGGGAACGTCGAGTGGAATAAGTAAACCGGCGGGAGCTTGTCGTCTTGCTTTTGTACGTTGACAGACTTCACATTCCTGACAATATTTCCGAATATCCTCCTTCATTCCCGGCCACCACCAGTAGTGAATGATTTGCTTGTATGTTGGCCTCCAACCTGTATGTCCGGCATGCTTAGAGCCATGCTCGTTCTTCAATATCTCTTCCCGATCCTTTTCCTCATCAACGCAAATAGTTTTCTTAGGTTCCCGGTCCATGGCTGATAATAATTGCTCACTGGAAAGTAGTTGTTGGTTGTTGAAAGGGTTGAGTTCGGAAGACAATGAGGACTGTTTACTATCCGACGGTTTGTAGTCCGCCCGGCGGGACAAAGCGTCTGGTTTCGTAGACTGCTTCCCGGGTCTGTAATGGATATTGAAGTTAAACTCTGATAGGAATTCGTACCACTTTGCTTGTCTCCGAGTAAGTTGTTTGGTGGTTAAGAAAACCTGTAAGCTTTGATGGTCTGTGTAAACTATGACAGGTATTTGAGTTCCTTCTAGGTATTGCCGCCATTCTTTAAAGGCATACACAATTGCTAAGAGTTCCTTTTCTGAAACCGGGTAGTTGAGTTCTGCTGGAATCATGCTCCTTGACGCAAAAGCGACAGGTCGAAGTACGTCATTCTCCCTTTGTGAAAGAATTGCTCCAAGTGCGTAGTCGGAAGCGTCGGTCTTCACTACGCAGGGCAAATTGGGGTCAAAATGACGTAAAACGGGCCCTGATCCAACTTTCTTTTTGAGTTCTCGGAAAGCTGTTTTGCATGGTTCATCCCAGGAGAATACTACCCCCTTTCGTGTGAGGTCATGTAGAGGCTTGGCAATATGTGCGAAGTTTCCGATAAAGCGCCTGTAGAAATTGACAAAACCTAGAAATGATTGGACGTCTTTGACCGATTTGGGAGTTGGCCATTCCGCCACTGTAACCTCCTTCTTGGGATCCATTTCCACTCCTCCCGGTTTGATAACATACCCGAGAAATTCGACGCTGTCAACATGAAACTCGCATTTGTCATGTTCAGCATAGAGCTTGTGCTGACGAAGTCGTTCAAGCACTTTTGTAACGTCCTTGATGTGAGTCTCGACATGCGGAGAGTAGATCAAGATATCATCTAAGTAGATGATCACTGAGCGATCTAGCATGTTGCAAAACGTATGGTTCATTAGGTGTTGGAAAGAGGCTGGCGCATTCGTGAGTCCAAACAGCATAACCCTATATTCGAATAGGCCATACCGCGTTCTAAATGCCGTTTTCCATTCATCTCCTTCTGCTATCCGCAGTAGATTATAGGCTCCCCGAAGATCGATCTTGGAGTAGATCTTTGCATTCTTCAATTGGTCCAAAAGGTCGCCGATTAGGGGCAATGGATAACGGTTCTTGACTGTTATCTCATTTAGTCGACGGTAGTCGACACACAAACACAGGCTCCCGTCTTTCTTTTTGACAAACAGTATTGGAGCTCCTGCGGGGCTCTCGGATGGCGTAATAAAGCCTTTGGAAAGGTTTTCGTCTAGATATTTCCAGAGAGCGTCTTGTTCAATTGCGGACAGGGAATAAATGGGTCCGAAAGTGGGTGTTTTTCCTTCAATAATGCAAATACGATGATTGAATGGTCTATGTTCAGGAAGCTAATCGGCATCCCCTTTTGAGAATACGTCAAGAAACTCCCAGTACTCCGGTGGTACAATATCTTTTGGGCTTGTGCTGATTTCTGGTACCGCCCTTGCATATAGCGCACCCTTCACGTCTTCCGGATCGTTATGTTGGTTAAACGATTCGGGGCTAATGATATTCAATTGCTAAATGTGGTTATCCAATGTGGACGCCCGAGGTAGCAAAATTCGGGAAGCCCAATCGATAATCGGATTCATTTTGTTCAAGAAAGTCATGCCTAGTACGATTGGTGCCGGGTGGATCTTTGTGACCATGAAGGTAGCCTCATAGGGTTCGAAACCTTCGCCTAGTAGTACCCGAAAATGTATCTCCTTCGTCAGAAGGCGAGTAGTGCCGTCTGGTAATCGGAGTTGTTCCGGTATAGCTTTTTTAATAGGTTTGAATCCGAATTCGGCCATGAATCCTTCGTCTGCGAAGTCCACTGTAGCACCACTATCTACCATAGCTCGCGTTGGGACTTGTTTGTTGCTGAGAACGACAACAGGAATAGTGATAAGCTTGTGCGGGTCTTTGGTAACTGGAGACCGCATATCAAAACTGGGTGAGGATAGAACGGGTTCCATTGTCATGGACTTGAAACTGACTTGGTGGGTCGTTGTTTCTTGTGAACTCTGATTGGTCTCCGTTGTGTCCTTATCCTGATTGTTATTTGGTCCTTCGATTGTTAGACTGTTTAGTCCGATCCGGTTTGCCCCAGTTGCTGGCGTGGGACGCTTCTTCGCTTCTGGGCAGTTGATTACCATGTGATCCGGACTTCCACAGTACAGACACAGACCATTATCCCTTCTATGTTTCTTTTCCTTGAAAGTCAAAGACTTTCTCTCATTGTTGCTTTTCGCTTTGGGGTTTTGTGGTGTTCTTTCCTCATTCTCATTTGTCGTGTTCTGCTGACCTGACTTAGATTTCTGGAAAGTGCTATCCGAATTACTTTTGTTGTGATTCGAATTGTATTTTGTGTTGTCCTTATTCTGTTGATACCCTCCTCCAGAACCGTTATTACCGTTTGACGATACCTTTACCCCGTCGAGATGTACGTAAAGGCTAATAGCAGCTTCGGCGAGGTCCCAAAGGGTTTTGGGTTGGTGTTTGCGGTTCGCGAGAGCTATGCGTATCTCTCGCGACAAGCCTGATTTGAAAGCGTCCTTTAGCGCCCGGTCGTCCCAGTCTATGTCCGCGGAAATCGACAAGAAAGACGAGTAGTAATCGGATACCGATTTGTCTTGACGAAGTCCTTTTAGACGTTGAACAGCGTAGCGATGACGATCAGGATCTCCGAACATGCGTCTAATCTGTTCTAGGAATTCCTCCAGTTGAAAACACCAAGAGGGCTGTTCAGATTCCTTTTTGATGAAGTACGCTTGCCACCACTTTCCTGCGTTACCTCTTAGGTAACCGGCAGCCCACAATACCTTAAACCTATCACTCAGAGTTCCTCCCCTAATAGCCAGATAAAGTTTTACTTGGGCTACATATGCGTCTACCTTCGGCCCTTGGCCGTTGAACGTTTTGGGTGGTTTGACATCTAATTTGCGTACGTCGGCAGCCAACATGTCCTGCGAGACACGCGGGTTGACTTCGTGAGTGTCGAATGTGCCTCTCCGGAAACGTTCGGGGTGAGTGATCGAAAATGGAACATTGTCAAACGGTGTTCGCAAATGCGAAGAAGCTCGGACAGGGGTTGTCGCAAGTGGAATGGTCTGGTATTGATCGATTGGTGGGTTACCGTTTATAGAATGGAATTCCTCTGGATCCGAAGGGATGTTGACCGATTCCGGATGGGTGTCTCCATATTACGAGTTATTTCTACCGAAATATTTTGAGTCCTATTAGGGGGAGAGCTGTGCGCTGTAGGTTCCCTAATAGTGTTATCGTTTTCTTCAATGTTCCTTCCGCCTTCTGTGTTGACTACTACAGAAGCGGTTCGAAGAGCTTCGAGTTCAGATCGTAGTTCTGCGATCTGTTCTTGATAAAGCTGTCTCATTTCTTGGAATTCTGCTTGTAGGTTTCGGCAATCGTGTCTTTCTGCGCGCGTTTCCCCTGAAACAGAACCTTCAAGAGTTGGAGAGGTTGGTTGGGACATTGTTGAAAACGGTACTGTGGTGATCGAAAATCACCTAGGCTTGCTCGGTACGAGTAAGGTCGAATGTATTTTATGTCAGGACCAGACGTTGAAAATAGTCTGCGTCTATGAGCTATGGCTATAGGGCCTCGTAGGGAACAAACCGAGTGATGTAGTTTATGGTCTAGTGATGTAGTGGATCGAAGAGACTATAAGTCGATGAGATCAAGTGGCAAAGATTGCTAAGTGACGAGAAAATACATTCGACAAGACATCTACGAAAAAGGGGTGTTTCCATATACTAAAAAGGGAGCGGAGTAATACCGAATCTACGGAGTAAATGTGAAAAGCGATATGGGGTGTAAGAGCGAAGGAAGACGGAGATAGATGAGGGACACGGAGATGAAGAAAAGTATAGCATGGTAAAGAAGTAGCGATTAGGTGGAACAGGAGAACGGAGGACGCCGTAGCAGGATTAGTGAGGCGGGGGGGAACGGGTAGGTGGAGTACGACTTCTGCGTACAACTCTTGAGGAACCCGTCTATAGGTACCCGTGATCCTGACAGTAAGGAGCTGCACGGACCTACCTGTCCCACCCAGAGACGTACCACTCTGGAGGTGAATGCACGGCCTACCATTCCTGTTCAGAGATGGTTGAAGTATCTCGTCCATGAACAGATCTTACATCTGATGGAGGAAAGGTGTGACTAAAACAGGTGCTCAAAGCATTGTCCATGGTGTTCCTCATATAGTCACGAGAGAAGAGAGAAGATGGAGAAGTGGACATTGTATATGACTGCAAGATACCACATAGCATCATAACTGTATCAGTTGTGGGAATGGTTGAGTTGTCCCTAATGGATGAGAGTCTGTTTCCTTTTACATATGTAGATCCTTACAGAGATTTTAGTGAGGCATACCAAACATCATCTAGGCGTGTAGGGATATCCCGACGGAGCTCAAATCTGTTGGGAATGAGAGTTGCATCTAGAGCTATGAAGAGGCGTCTACAAGAGTTTCAGGGTTCTTATGTGACATGCAATTTTGGTACTGATTATCACTATCTAACACTCCCCTTAGTCCGTACTAAGTTGCTTTCATAGGAGCGAAGAAAGATTACTGTAGACTATGGGTTCTGGCGACTCGTCTCTCATGACATTGACTTGGTGTTTTTATCGGTATTCTTTGATGGCTTCCTGTAATTGACTCTTGGATAGATCTCCGTGTTTCTTAATGCGGCAGTCTTCCACACTATGTCCGTATTTACCACACCAATCACACTCTTCGTCTTCCTCACTATCACTCCCATTCCTCCCACGTTTTCCTTCTTTCCTCGTCTTTCCTTGTCCTTTGTCCTTCTCCTTGTTACCTCCAGGTTCACTACCAGCACCATTACTTCTACCCTTTCCTACCCTACTACCTGATCTCCCCTTATCCTTCCTAATAGCATCTTTATTTACGAGAACAGCACTGATGGCTTGTTGAGTATGGTTCTCCATCTCTTGCTCAAGGTGGCGGGTGTCAGCAATACTGTGGTACGCGGTTACAAGATGGTCCCAGCTTTTCCGTGTGTCTGGTCGGAGGTCCCACTGTTGACGAAGTGGAGCGAAGTCTCAACCAAGGGAGAGAAGAAATCTTTCGGAACGATCACCATCATCTATATGGGCACCTGCACCAAGAGCCTCGGCTACTAGCTCACTAAAGGTCTCGAGGTGAGTGTGAAGCCTGGAATGTTCAGCAGTTTAGCAGTGAGGCATTTATGTGATTGGCTGGATTTAGTTTCCCGCAGTGCACTCACTTTGAGGCATTTACGTGATTGGCCAGAAAATCCCTCACACACTTTTTATTTGGTACACCTACTTTAGTTTTGAAGGGTATAAAAGGAGCACATCTCCCCCCTCTTTCTTCTGCAATGTATCTTCATCTTGAACTTCATCTTTGAAAGTCACCTAGTTGGTTCTAACCCAACACCTCAGTACCCTCAGTACCTAAGGCAGTTATCAAGCTTTACGAGCCAGAGACTAAAACCCTTCAGTACCCAAGGCAGTACTTTGCAACCGCAGTCCACCCGCAGGCGTGACATGATGTGGTTAGTTCCTTTGTACGGGGCAGGTAGGTGTTACTCTGTGTTGTCTCTGAAACTTGACTGAACGATAGACCTATCTCTGGAGAAGCAGTGGCAAAAGCCGCTCACGACATTGTCAACCACCTGGAAACGCAGGTAGATCAAGCTTCAAGGCCATGTAACACCAATGATTGTTTTCTTCACTTGCTGCAGGAAACAATCAAGAACCTCAAAGACAAGGAACATTATGGGGGCATGGTGACTTATCAGATTATAGACACAGATGACAACGTTATTGAAACACTCTCTCTGGAGGACCTTGTCTAGCTCCAATTTGCACGAGTCCAAAGGAATTATCCACATACGGGTGACAACAGAGGAAGAATAGGAATGCATCAAAAGTGAGAGAGTGTATCCAATTGTTCAGCCTTGTCAGGCCCCATGTCCAATGATCTGTCTGATGGATGGAGGTGTCTAAACAACTGTTACGGGGAAACAACGACTCGATGCAGCTCCATTGAACTCGACGGATTAAGAAAGAAAAAGCCGAAATTTGGTGGCAGTGCTTGTTACGACCCGGTAGACCAGATCCTAACACCCATATTGAATCACACCTTCTTTATGGCGTATTACACGTATCCCACCGCAAAGTGCACGCGTCTCAACGACTCCCACCTTCTTCCCGTCGTCTCAACGCTCTTCATGCAAAGTACAACGAATTGTACGCATCACGGCGAGAATGCAGTTCTTTCAGTTTGGTAGTTTGGTAGAATATAGTATAATAACCGAGGAACACGACTCTTTCCTACGCAAGACAGCGGACCTCCCAAAATGGACTTGGAAAAGGATATAAACCCCTTGTACTTCTTTCATAGTTCCTTTTCTTCAGAGATCAATTATCATACCTTTCAACCTTTATTGACCAAGTCATCAAATACTGATCTAGACTTCAAGCTTGTCTTCAATATTGGCCCCAAGCCTATCTTCGCCCTCACCTTGGGTCTCAATATAGTTATCAGACATGCTCTTGTCATCATTATATTAGACTCTCTCATTGTCAGTAAGTCATCTCGTCCTGCGTATCAGAGTTCCTCTCTCTTTCTTATCATCTTTGTCATCAACACATCTCTTCACATCACTTGTCCACCTGCCGTCTCCCCTCTGAGACGTACCAGGCTTAACAGTGCGGCAGTAGGTAGGGACAGAATTTCTCCTTTTGAGATTTCCCCACTGGGTTTGCTCAAAGCGGTTTTTTACCTGTCCGAGTATGTACATTGATGTTTGCAGCAGGGAAATGGGAAGAGATGGATACCTGTAGACAGTATATAGTACAATCAGCAAAGTACCAACTTTGCTGATTCCTCAATATCATTCCTTGGCTACATCAATTGCAGAGGAGACATGATCCATCACATAGCACCAGAGACACATAGATTTCCACAAGAGCTCCATTGAGCTTGACCCACCCTGCAACCTAGGCATTGTGTTTCCAATACCGTTACTGTGACCTGCATCCCCGATCGATGAACATGGGCGGGACCCAGGGGTCTTTCCCACTCCTTGGAACACTCATGCTAAACAAGAGTCCTGTTTGAACCATAAAGCTCTCAAACAGGCAAAATATCGTCTCACTCCCACTCCACACTCTCGTAAGCCGATCAGATCGGATTGCTCCGGGCAATGATCAGGTTTGATGCGCCAAATTCGGCCAATTTTGACGCGGGTAAACGGGCTCGGACATGCTTCCCGGCTAGCCGAGGTTCTGGTCTCGCCCCTCGACTACGGGTGATCTCCAGTGGTCAAGCAAGCACAGGTTTTTGAACGTGTTGATACTCCGAAATCACCCCTTGAGTCTATATAACACTTGAAGGTCTCTCCCCTGACCTGCCATTTCATCGTTTTCTTCCACTTTTTCATCTTATTTTTGCCACCTCAAAGTTATACAGCTAGAATGTCTCGGTTTGGTGGGAACATTAACCATGAAGACCAACATTTTCGCCCTGATGGACCCTCCACGTTGAGACCATCTGCTCCAAGTCACAGGACCCCAGTAGTTGTAGCCTCGACCAAGGACTCATCAGGCGTCTTAAGCAAAACTGATGAACCTTACAACACAACACATACCCAGGATCCACACTCATCCAAGTTGGAAGGAAGTTTGCCCAAATCTGCGAATGATCCAAGACAACGCATTTGGGAAGAGCTTGGCATTGTCCAGAATAGCGGAGGCCTGCCCATGACTCAAGGTGCGGCCAAGGCAAAGCAGGCAGCAACGCGGGGGGAAGAGACACCGACTGACAGTTCCAGTTCTTCCACTTCTTCAAGCTCCAATTCGCGCCCACCCCAAGGGCCCAGGTCCAAAAAGGATGCTTCTACTCTCAACTTGGATGATCAAGATGAATCAAAACATGGGGTGATTACATGGGAGATCACCAATGGTGACCATACGAAAATTTATTATTCGTAAGTGATCTTGTTAGTCTTTGAGCTTGTTGACTGATTTTCAAGAGAGCCACAGGAGGGTGAGGCCGAGAATCTTGCGAGAGAATGGCGACACCATTACCAGGCCAGGCTTGCCGCTCTTGATGAGAACAACCCAGAGCAAGTACATGAGTTCAACAAAGTGATGGACAGAGCAGGAGGCAGATTCTATGGCGATGAATGGGAATTTTCCCGGGTGAATGCAGATGGGACAAGAACAAAGCTTGACTTCAGTGATGTGGCATCATTTCAGTGGTCAGATGACTAATGAACATGGAGGACACATATGGGGAAAGACATATATCCAAGCAAGGCCCATCACCTGCATATGCGTTATGAGGAATGTGTAGTATCAAAGAGGATTGGCCATGCCACCATCTTTGCAAGTGATGTCACCTGATGAATATGATGGAAGGAATCCTTCACACTGACAGCACAGCAAACTCAGAGAGGAACTTTGGTAATTCAAATCCTGAAGGAATAGCATAAGAAATTGTACATATCTAAATTACAGATGAGTGGGCTTGGCTTTTCTTCACGTTCCAAAACAGTATTCGTACTTGATCATTACTACTAGGAAGATCATCTTCTTTTCCGCCTTAGAACACCGTCTTACTTTCTCTCCTTCATTGTGATTGGTGCCTCCGTTCCTAAGTATCACATCACACAGGTCCACCAATACCCAACACCACATTGTTTGTCATTCTCTGAGCTACACTTGCACATGCGGTGGAGAAGCGAATGGTGTTTCGGCCAGAGGTATCCCTGAAAGATGTGGTGACCAAAAAGCGGGATAAGTCATCTCGACGGGAACCTATTCGTTAGCCGGGATACCATACTACGTTCCGGCAGCGATCACCCAGAAAATACATGTTCATGTGTTCTGACCGGCGACAAGGCGACAAGTAACACGGACCAACAGATAGATTTGGTATTTGATACGATGGCCCAATGAAAATTGATTGAACAATGATTGCGCAACAATTTGTTTTATCGCTATTGACCAGGATGAGACAAACGTTTTAGTCATGCGATAAGAAGGAAGGTGAGAGAGAAGAGGTCACGAGAAGAAAAGAAATGAGAGAAAAAATCGAGTGGTAGGTGTATGGGGAAGGGAGATAGATGTAGGACATGTTAAAATAAATGGAATAGAAAAGAAGAACAGTTGGACTCACCGATACTGAACCATCTAAAGCCGCTCTGGCTTTCATATAAACAGCCATCGGATAACCTCTTTCTTCCATCCTTCTACAAACAGCTTCAGCAGCATCCCTATCCCCACAACGTAATTCAGCATGTATCATAGCTTCATAAGTACTCGGTTCTCTATAAACCAATTTACTTTCTTCTTCTACCGTAGAAGGTTTCGTATGTCCTGAAGAAGTTAATAATAACGGATGATTATTAGGTGCTGCTACACCCGTTATACCATCTGCCATATGTTCGAAAATATCTCTTGATTTATCTATTAAACCATGTCTCGCATAACCTGAAATCAAGACGTTGTAAACATAAGCTGTAGGTCTTGTACCTGTGTTTTGTAATCGGAGGCGCATAGATTCGAGTTCTTCCAAAGTACCTTTAGATGCTATGACGGATAAGATGGCTTCCCATACCACTGGCTCTGGTACGTTTGCTTGAGATGAAGGATGAGAAGGGATGGAATCGAAAGTTTCTAATGCTTTGGAAACGTCACCTACGGCTAAACCGTAAGCGTTGATTAGAGACGCCCAATGAGTTCCTTGGACAGAGACAAAAGGGTCGGCTTGGAGTTGAGAGAAGACTGATTCCATGGAAGGTATATCGGGAGGTGGGAGGGTGGCATAAGCGTCGAGAAGGAGTTTGTATGTGTGGGAAGAAGGTGGGACTTTGGCTTGACAAAGGGCAGAGTAGTAGTGAAGGACTTTTTCACGAGATGGTCGAGTTTGAAGGTAGAATTGCATCATGATGCTGGAGGTGAGCAACGCTCTTGTATCATTCATTTTGACTCTGCCCAAGTGATCATGATCATGCAAGCCGAAAAGTATACACGGCTGGTCTGAGATCACCAGACTGAGACTGGAGAGGATTACACCGAACATAGGCGTATGATCATCAGCTTGGAGGAAGGGTGAGGTGGCTGGGGTGGGGTGGACTGGGGTGGACTGGGGTGGACTGGGGTGGACTGGGGTGGACTGGAATGGACTGGAATGGACTGGAATGGACTGGAATGGACTGGGGTGGACTGGGGTGGCCTGGGGTGGACTGGAGTGGACTGGGGCGGAGTGAGGTGGACTGGGGCGGAGTGAGGTGGGTGGAGTGAGGGGGATGAATGGGGGGGAGGGATGAAGATGCGAGTGAGAAGGAAAGAGGTGAAGCTGGCGGAGAGATGTACCATAACTCACTTGAAAGGCGGAACATGAGGTTTGAAATTCGGCTGAGCTGTCATTTCCTTGAATAGGATTTCGGCCGATTCAGCATCTCCTACACGACAACAAGCGTTCTAGAGAGATCAGCTTTCGTCTACCACAAGCCGAGTCTTTTCTACTAATAATCTTTCAGGGGACGGATGGAGTTATCAAGAAGAGGAAGGAAACGTCATCGTTCCGAATATCGGTGCATTAAAAACATTCGCCAATACCGACAAAGTTAGAGTGACAGATATCTGATAAGCCCAAGATCCGAGTATCGCTAGTGCAAGTGTCGATACATTTCGAATATTGGTAGAGTTGAGGAAACCTTGATATCCATGGAAATCACACAATAGCAGCGGTAGAAAGACCCGAGTCATAAGACGGACAACACCCAACGCCAAGTGGACACACATCAGTTCAACTGAGAGGGAAAAATACATAGGATTGAGAAATATCAGAAGGAGAAGTATCAGAATAGAAGAAGAAAATTGGGAAAGGATTTCAAATAACTCACAATGACAGCACCATAAGTAACACTAGTAGGTCTCCAACCTTCTTTCCTCATCCTTTCAAATAAAACCAAAACTTCATCAGCTTTCCTAGCTTTACTCAATCTAGAGATAACTGTATTATATAAAAACAAATGAGGTTTCACACCTAATCTTTGACTTTCTTCCCACATTTCCCTTGCGACAGCAGCGTCATCCGTCGTGTTTTTACAACTTGAAATCATGGTAGCGTAAGCGTCTGAAGAAGGTACGAAACCTTTTTCTAACATTCTTGTACGATGTAAACCCGCTTGTTCTAATTGACCTAAATGACAAGAAGCTATAATCATCGAATCTTCTAATGATCTCCATGCTTTAGGTTGTGCCATGGTAGGGAGAAGGGATAAAGAAGATGAAGATATTTTATATAATTGGGATATTGCTGTTGATATTTGTTGAGAGGTTGGTTGGTTTTCATTTCGGTTTTGTTGAGAGGTTTGGGGTTGATAGTGGTTTCGTAGAGATTGAGATTGAGATTGGGGTTGAGATTGGGACTGGAGTTGGGATTGGGATTGTGATTTGAAAGAAGATTTAGGAAAAGGACGTGAGATTGAAATAATCAACTTCGATGTGATTTCCGGATGAACATATCTACCATTTTCGAAACCTGATATCAACAATTCGTATGCTTTCCAAATTGATATTTGTGGATTTCGACGATTATGACCATCGACTTTATTTGATAAAGGAAAATCAATGATAGGTGTATTTCCATCATTCATTCTCTTATTACTCCAAACCGGTTCATTTGTCAATGTCGAAGTTACGGGATAAGATTCTGGATTTATTTCATCAACTTGTGTATTTGAAATTGATTCATCCATGTTGATCTTGTCGTTGATGGTGGTTGTCGTTTCTGTTTCTGGTTCTGGTTCTGGAAGTTTTATCAAATTTTCAGTTTGTTTCCCAAAAATAGGTAACAACATTTCTCTTGATTTACTTTGTCCGAATCGATAAACTAAAGTTTTACCTAACATTTCAATTCCAGCAGTTTTACTCAACCTTTCAGATTCTTCCAGAGTTATTTTAAACTTTTTACCGAGTAACAAAAGTTTTTCAAACATCGAATCCCACATTCCTTCCATTAATTCTATTTCAGGTTGTTGTACCAAAGCGTCGATTAGGATTTTCCACTGATGAGATGAGAGAGTGGGTTTGGGGGAGTTGATATCAAGAGAGGTCGAAACGTTCTCTTGGGTTGTATCTTGAATGGGATCATCTTGGTTTGAAGATTGAGATTGTCGAGCTAAAAGATCTAATTGGAACCATTCGGAGTCATATTTCTCCAACAACTTTCTTGCTTGTTCTTGATCAACATGAACATCCAACCTTTTCAATTGAACCAAACATTCTAACACTTCAAAAGGATCATTCCCCTGACCGTTCACGATCATCTCGATAACCGTTTTAACACCTGATAAATCATATAATCCTTTCCAACCTTTCTGAAGAGTGTTCTCTATAGTTTGACTGATCACTTCCAAATAACCATATTTAACCATCAAAAGTAAATGTCTGACGATTAATTCAGGGTATAAAATATAAAGATTGAATGTTTTCATTATTTCTCCTAATTTTTCCGATACCTCTTTAGCTTGTTCTTCGGACGATTGTTCAGCAGTCACAAGCATTAAACCTGTTAACGATCTTAAGAAACTCGGGGTTTTGTATTGCTTCAATTTCTTTTCAGGAAGGATAAACGTTTCCACCAGATTATAAGCTTCGGACCAACGATCGATCTGACAGAGATTTGTGATAAGACGTGAAATGGATTCTATGGTGATGTCCGTATGTAATAAATGTGATTTTGTAGGATGAGAATTTAATCGATTTAAAAGATTGAGTGATAGATCAGGATGACCTTCACGAGCTAGAGCTATTATGATGTGACTAAAGACGAATTCGTTTAAAGAAGGTATGGAAGATGATGAAGGATTTAACATTTGTTCGAATAATTCATTCACACGAGGAATATCGTTGATCAAGGCGAAAGAAGTAATAGCGTCGACATAAACGTGTAATTTCATGTTGGTGAATGATTTGTTGTAGATATCCAGCTCTCCTGAATTCCCATCTAATGATTTCCCATCTATCGCATCATCAAGAATAGAAGATGAACCTCCATCTTCATCTTCCAAAACCTTTTGATGGTAGTTTTCCTTATCGGATAGATTATTCTCGATCGATGTTGAATATCGTAAGAAAGCATTCCAATGAGAATTGACAGCATTGGCATTTCCTTTTCTTCCATGAGCGCGAAGAGTAGGACCATATAGAGATAACATCCAAAATGATTTTTCCGGTAAATTCAAAACACTCATCATGATCTTATCGATATTTATCGTATCTGGTGGATCTCGTGAAGCACAAGCTAAAACCAAATCTCTGAAGACTATACTTGGTAAATATCTGATCAAACCTCTTTCGACGATCGAATGTTTATAGATCCTTAAAGCTGTCTCGACATTTTTCTCCGCATTGAACAATTCGATAGTTTCCATATCATCGAATCTATCAGGAAGGTGGGAAATTCCGAGTTTTTCTTGTTCCCATTGTTGAGCCTTCGTTCGCAACTTCGTATCATTTATAAGATTCCTTATATCTAATTCCCTTGCGCATAATGATCGTATGACATTTATATGTGTACCGAGATTAGGAACGATATCTCTTTCTAACATTTCGTTATAGATATCAAGTACTGGAGCTATTGAATCTCCTTTTTGACGTGTTTGTACCAAAGCGGTAAGACACGCGTTGTATGTATGAGTGGACCATCCGTTCGGTAAAGGGAATTCTGAAGATAAGGAATAAGGTTTTGAAGTGGGTGTAGGAGTTTTGGTTGAGAATGGTGAAGCTGATCTTGGTGAACGATAATGATTTACTAAAACGTTTATACGTGCTCTATCCATTGATTTTGTAGCTTGTCTTATTGCTTGATATATACGTGCGTCAAGTTGATTATTTTTATCATCCAATTTATTAAGACTTGTTTCGGTGGCGGGATTAGACACGGGTGATGATTGGGCAGGTGGTGAATCGAGGGAAGGTCGTTGAGAAGCAGCTACAGTATATCGTCTAGATCTATTGACTGTGGATGATTTTGGTCGGGAATACAGGATCCCAGCTAGATCTTGTTCAAAACGAATTCCACCGGATTGAGATTTACGAATGACCAATTTAGGTATTTGTTCACCTACACGACTGGACGAACGGGTATGTAAAGGACGAGATTCAATTCGGTTTGAAGGAGGTAAACCAGCTTGCCAGAGATCAACAGTACTTTTGGATCTTCCAAATTCCGGGCGTTTATGTAGACTAGTCGAGTAAGACGGACCGGCGATAGGATATAAACTATTATCTTCAAATTCCAGATATCTCCCATCTCTTCCGTCTGATACGAGTAAGTTTTCACCAGTTGATCCTAAGTTGACTTCAATTTGATCTATCACAGGAATTTCAGTTGACTCAATCCTGAATCTCTCCCCCGATCCTAACTCCGATACTTTCTCTTGATATAGCTCAATATCCAATAACCTCAACTTGGGTCGTTCTTGATCAAACCTCACCACTCTCACAATCTTCTCCTTTTCTTTATCTTTATCTTTCCCATATCCCACAACCTCTCTGAAAGACACTCTTCTCTTCCTTCCATTATTATCATCGTTGGTTAAAGAAGTAGTCGGATCCACGGCGTTGGTTTGAGGTAAAGATAGGAAAGCTCTAGCATGACCTTGATAACCTTGTTGACCTGCACCTGGTCCGGAGCCGCCGTATGTTCTCCCGGTACCGTTGGGTTGGGATGGGGAAGGGGAAGATTTGGAAGTGACGAGGGTGTTGCTTACTCCTGATGGGAGATGATGGAGGAGGGAAGGATTGGAGGAGAATGGTTCGGGGGAGGGGTGAAGACGGAGATATGGCCGGATGTGAGTTCTGGTGATCAGCGAGATAGAGGAGGATTAGGCGTAGTATATGAAGTATCAGATGGGGGAAGATGAGGGTTTCGAAGGGAAAGCCCTAGGGAGATATCTCGAGATGGAGTAGCGGTGGATCGAGTGATGATATGATCTAAAGTAGGCAGGAGTAGTGAGATCGAACGAGAGTCAAGTGTGTAGATGGTTTTCATATACTCCAGGCTCGGATCGAGTGATAAGGGGATGAACATATGAGAGAGAGAGTAGAAAGGTGGAGTACTCACGCAGCTTTACCCAACATGATGCAGATCGATCTTCAAAATTCAAGTCCCCGGCGACTAATCACTGACGAGTCACACGTACCGATCCAACCGTCACTGTCGTGTTCAAAGCCCAGTGTACTATCTTAGGATACGTTCATACCTTGTTCAAATCGTTCAAAAGGGTATAGGAGAGTAGTGTTATGCCTATAACGAGTACATGTATGGAGAGACGCACCGTCATACCATCGGCAAATTGCAACAAAGTCGAAAAATTCGGAACGGCGCGGGTGACAATAAATTTGATTCCGTTCCGTCTACCAACAACTCCGCCGACAGGGCCGATGTACAATCTTACAGCTATGCTATGCTATGTCATACTAACTGTATGCACTTGGTGTCATCATGCATATATTTTTACAAACACTGAAGAATCGTGATAATAGCATGAGTGAAAGGGAGAATGTGTGGGTTGGATTGAACATGAGATGTAATGTAAAACATATCACCATTCCCCTCCCAACTTTACGTGAAGTGGAAAAACACCTCCTATTCCTAAATTTGGAGGAGCGTAACCACCTGGAATAGGTTTCCTACATACCTATAAAGTCAACCAGATGATTTCAACGTTGAAGGAACAATACTCAGGATCTGGTGAGTGAAAAAGAAAAAATTTACTCACCGGACATTCACCTTCAACAATCCATTCATCTCCTATTTTCCATAACCCTTTTAAAACTTGTTCAACTTTTAGATCCTCTTTCAAACCTAACAAATCACTTAATAGACTTTCTGAATCTTCACAACCCTTATCCTCTCCATCCGCTTTGTTCTCTTCTAGACCTAATTTGATTATCAAATCTCTTTTCTTTCTCTCGTATATCGCATCTTGTAGTAAGTCGATAGTCCATTCTGTAGGTCTGGGAGGGATAGATGAATGTCCTGTTTGTCCTCTACGTCCACCTCTTGCACGAGTGGCACGACCGCGTCCACGTCCACGATGGAATGGTTGATGTTCGGGATAAGGATTGGGTTGACGGGCGATAGCTGAACGAAGAGAACCGTGGAGACATTTCGCACAGAGGATGTGACCACAAGCTGTTATGACGGGTTTGGAAGGTTCGCAGAAACAGACGGGACAGGCTGTATGTCAGAGACATGTCTCTTTTGAGTTTGTTTGAAGAAAGAAAATATCCGCCTCCAAATGGCTGAGTGACTGAGTGGTGATATGTGTGGAGAGGTTTGATATAATGAACCGTTGTAGTAGAAGTGGAGAAAGAATTGATAACTCACAATAAGCAGCTAAACCTTCAGGTTCACTACCTTCTTCTTCATCATCATCCAAAACCTCCGCACCTCTCTTCACCCCGACGATCTGTATACCTTCATCATCATCCTCCACTTCGATAGGTTCGACCATTTCTCTTCCTTTCCCTTTCTCCGCCGATGTATATCTAGGAGTATCATCACTATCATCAACCTCTACGACTTCATGACTGTCTTCATTTGAATTATCTGATCTCGTCATATCCCCATTGCCTTCCAACCCTATAACATCATCCTCATGTTGACTTTCCACCACACCATTTTCCCGATTCGAACCTCGTCGTCGAGTAAGAGAAGAATTTCTTCGTCGGGTATTGGAAAGGTTTCGTCTTGGAGTGATAGGTTGATCAGGTGAATAAGATGGTAATAAAACATCTAAATCATTCATTACCAAACCATCCAATCCATCGAAATTATGATTTTGTGGATCGTCCCATGACATTTCTTGTATATTATTACTTCTCTCTCTTTCTCTTTCTCTGGGAGAAGAATGAATTGATCTTCTTCTAGTGATAGGTCCTGAATAACCATCATATCCGAAATCCTGTTCAATTCCAACATTCCCGACATCCACATCCACATCCGCATCCGCACGATCATCATTTCTCACGTTCCCATTATCTCCAGGAGAATGCGTATGGACAAAAGTTGATCTTGATCTACTAATAGGGATAGATGAAGAATTGGAAGAAGACAAAGAATGAGGGAAACTAATTGATGATGTGGTTGATCTAGTTCTTGAATTTGATGATATTGATGAACCTCTTGAAGAAGTTGAACCACCTCTTTTAACACGACGTCTGATTATAGGTACGTCAGCTAATGTTGGTCTAAGTGAAGAACCACGAGAACGAGTTTCCATATTGTGTTAATTCTTCTTGTAAAGGTAATCTCTGATCCTTCAGATTTGAAAGGTGGCGTGTGGGTGTTATAGGGGGCAAAAGGGAAACAAATGGTGGTGAACTGAGTCACGAGGGTTACGTCACGTTATGAGCGTGGAAGATGATTGTGAGTTGTGTTTAGGGAAAAGAAGGAAAGTGAATTATTGGGTGTATGATCTGAAAGAGGGTAGAGAGGTGGAAAGATGAAGTTGATCGTGACACAGTAAGTAGTAAGAAAGGTAATTCTGCATGCCTATTTGGGGTAAATCACGTAAAAAGTTGAAAGGGCAAGACTAAATTAGGCATGTAAAGGTTTTTCCGTGACAATTGCTTCTTTCCTTTTTCCTTGCATCACTACGAGTATTCTATATATACTCGCATCTTTCTCACCAATCGTCACTTCTCTCCCTTTACTTTATCACTCTATCTATTATCCTCAAAGACAGATAAACGGTCGAGACTTCCCAATATGCCCAAGGTGAGTGACAAAGACGAAGAGAAAAAGACAAGGAGCTGACTTGAGAGGCTAAAGGTAAAGGAGGGAAAAATCGTCGGAGGGGGAAAAACGATGATGATGAAGCTAAAAGAGAATTGATTTTCAAGGAAGATGGGCAAGGTGGGTTTATACCTCAATCAATCTCTCCTTCACTTCACACTTATTCTTGTATCATTGCACGTTGAAGGGGGGGGGGGGGGTGGAATGTCGAGTGGCAATACAACCCATCGTGGTTGATCATATTGTACCGATGTTCGTTTTGGGGCTTAAGGCTTGAGAGCATTTAACAGAGTAAAACTGATCAATAGAATACGCTCAAGTCGTCAAGATGTTAGGGAATGGAAGGTTGGAAGCTAAATGTCAAGATGGTGAAACTCGTTTAGCTCAGATTAGAGGACAGATGAGAAAGAAGGTGAGTGATTCTACTTTATTTCATTCAACACCTATCTTCTCATCTTGAACATCGTTCCCATTTTTCTCTTCTTTTACCCATCGCATCCTTAGTCTGGAACACTCATCACTTCACATATCCCGGGACGAGTCATTTTCTCTTTCCTCAATCTGTCTGTCATTTCTCCCTCGACCTCGCTGGATAATCTTCCTTCATCCTCACAACGGTAAACACACGTTAGTAGAGTGATCATGATAGGTGTATCTCTTCTTCATTTACCAGCAATTCTCAACTGTTGGGATTGGAAAGAATAGTACACACCGCTCACACTCAGATTTGGATAGTAGCAGGCGATATCATCCTCCTTTCCCTTCGAGAATTCCAAGATGGTAGAGCGGATGTGATCCATCGATATACTCCTGATGAAGCTAGGAATTTGAAGAATTACGGAGAGTTGAAACAAGATACCAAAGTGTTTGAGAATGTTGGTGATGGTGAGTCTAGGCTGTGCTTTGGAATCTTGACACTCTTCACGTTTGTAAAATGTCAACGCGATTCCGAGTTGTTTTTTCAACTCTTCATCTCAAACATCTTTCCATCATTCTTCTATCACTTTCCCCATCTCCACCATGAAAAATTTTCATCTGTCCCTCTCATGTTCAGTCCCACCTCCAAAGTCTTTGTTGGACATGATGGACGGCCTGAGACTCGCATACACGGATCATACTCCAAGGTGTCCGTATTCATTATGATTCTTGATTAACGTGGGACGACGGTGGGACGCAATGACGAACTTGGGATTTGACTAACAAACAGTCGATAAAGGTGGTGATGACGACGACGAAGTCGAATTCGCAGATGATGATAAGATTGAGATTGACGATATTTGTGAGTTTTGTTTTTTTTTACAATTTTCCTCCATACACCGTTTCGTTCTGGTATGTGTCGCCAACCTTTCATCTCTCTCCAAAGAGGTCGACATGTCTTATACCAATTGTGTACTTTGTCAGATCCCGTTACTTGATCATGATACATCATCACGACTAGGCGTTCATCTTTTCTTTACGTCGTGTTGATATTTCTTCTCCAAGGTGTAACGGAGTCTTTCAGAACAAGATCAGTGAATAATGGTGTGAAACGACATGAGAGGGTTTACACTGATAATCAGGATACACAATCCTCCTCATCACACCTTTTTTGGTCCAATGTCACGATGCATTCCTTCCTTTCTCATTTCATCTTAAGCATTATCTTGTCATCCTGCAGTCATGATGCCCTTTGGCATTTCTCTCTCTCTCAGTATCTCTCCACCAGTTTTCATATTTCATAATCCCATCAAATATTTCAATACTTATCCCTTGTCCCATACATCCATCTAACCTCTTGGGAATCAAATGGCTCTTCTCTATAACCATATTCAACTTCATCTTCAATTTCAATGTTTGTATGAACCCAATCTGATCTACGTGCCAGCTTTACCAACAATCACAACACTTCCATCATCTTTAATCCTCTTGATCACTTTCGCGGGTGAACCTACAACAACACATCTAGGTTCAACATCTTTAGTAACCACCGCACCTGCTCCAACTGTACAACCAGCACCTATAGTAACTCCAGGTAATATAATAGCTCCACCTCCTATCCAACAATCAGGTCCTATGACAATAGGTTTTGAACCTTCTGGTCGGAATGATTCTTTGTTTTCTTTATCGTTTTGAGGGAAATAATAATCAGGTGTACGTTCTTCTGGTGAGAGTGGATGTGTAGGTGTGTATAATTGTACGTTTGCACCTATTTGAGTACGAGAACCAATTGTGACTATTACATCAATTCTCGTCTGTGATTTTTTGTATTTTATCGAATTTTACAGGAAGAGGTGTCATGTGTGAGTGAAATGTCAAAAGATCATCTTTAGACTTTGTTGAAGATAGTCGAATGAGATTTATTATGAGGTGACTTGAGTTAGATAAAAATGAAATGAAAGATTTGAATCAATTTGTGGAAAAGATGAATAGATGGATAGATGAAAAAAAGGAAAAGGGATGAGGTTTTAGTAAATAAGAAAAGTATTGGATAGTTGGAAAAGAGAAGAAGACGAAGAAATAATTTACTTTTACCTACATCGATAAAAGTACATCTAGGTCCTACGTAAATACTTTCTCCAAAATTGATATTGAATCCCTGTTGGTTATCAATCATACTACATCATCTTCTTCTTTTGTTAGAGATAACGTATCATCTTCAATCCCTTCCTAGACAGAATATTTGTTTTATACCGGGAAGTTGACCAATGTAGGAAGAAGAAAGGTTACTCACATATTCAAAGATGAAACCAGGCATGACTCTAACATCATTACCCATGACCCAGATATCTTGACACATTTTCATCCTATCGTTCGTATTTAAAATCTTATTGAACCGATCTACCAGGTCAATCCCTCTATGTCGTAAACGAAGTAGATACGTATCAAAGGGATCATATGGTTGAGAGGTTATCATGAGGTTGAGTTCGGTTGATGATTCTGATTCTTGAAGAGGTGGAGCTAGAGGAGGGAGGGACATGGTGCTGGGGTTGGACTGTTAGATCAACGAGATGTTTTTGGTAGAGGGGGGGATTACTGGCGGTGGGGATGATGTGGGGCTGATGGGGAATGTGGATATGAGGGTGAGGAGGATGAAGGTTGTTGGGGAGAATGGGACTGGTGGGAAGGTGTGGAATGGGCGAAAGTGCGGGGAATCAGTGCGGGGTGAAAGAGGAGAGAAGATGCGGGGGAATGATGCGGAGTGGAGACAATTCCCCACTTTCCCCCCACACCTCCCCCCGCTATACGTACTTTTCGCTACTAGTGTTGCCAACCTGTCAAATTGACAGGCCCGTCTCCCGCCTCTCAAGCTGGATCCGCAAAGTTGTGAACCCGTGAACCCGTAGTGTCTCCCTCTCTCTCTTTCTCGCTTGAAGGTAGTGAAGTGGTTGTATGCTTTACTTCCCTTCTCTGTCCGTGAATTAGTGGACCGTGGACCCGTGACCTCCCCCTTCTCTCTCTCTAGCTTGTAGGTAGCAAGTCTAGTGGAGTTGTGACAGCCTGCTCTCCTTCTCCTTCTCCTTCTCCTTCTCCTCCTCTTCTCTCCTTCTCTCTTCATCATCACGGTTTATCATCACGGTTCATCATCATGGTTCATCCTCTCGCTTTATCCTCTCGCTTTATCCTCTCGCTTTATCCTCTCGCTTTATCCTCTCGCTTTATCCTCTCGCGCCTGCGGCCCTCGCCGCTCGCCACGTGGTTTATCCCCCCAAGTTAGCCTCTCATCATCTGTTATTATAATAGACTAGTGTGCCAACCTGTCAAATTGACAGGCCCGTCTCTCGCCTCTCGAGCCAACTCCAGAACCTGTGGAATTCAATCCTCTCACACACACACACACACACTTTTGACCCATGAACCTGTGAACCTCTATTGTATCTCTCTCTTACTCCGTCGCTCTTCCCCCCCCCCCTTATCCTCTCGCTTCCGCTCTGCGGGCGTCGCCGCTAGCCACGTGGTTTATCCCCCCAAGTTAGCCTCTCATCATCTGTTATTATAATAGACTAGCGTGCCAACCTGTCAAATTGACAGGCCCGTCTCCTGCCTCTCAAGCTGGATCCGCAAAGTTGTGAACCTGTGAACCCGTGAACCCGTAGCCTCTCCCTTCTCTCTCTCTCTCTCGCTTGAAGGTAGTGAAGTTGTTGTATGCTTTACTTCCCTTCTCTGTCTGTCCGTGAATTAGTGGACCGCGGACCCGTGACCTCTCCCTTGTCTCTCTCTAGCTTGGTAGCAAGTCTAGTGGAGTTGTGACAGCCTGCTCTCCTTCTTCTTCTCCTTCTCCTACTCTTCTCTCCTTCTCTCTTTCACTCTTTCTCTCTTTCTCATCAATCATCACGCTTTATCCTCTCGCTGTATCCTCTCGCTTTATCCTCTCGCTTTATCCTCTCGCTTTATCCTCTCGCTTTATCCTCTCGCTTTATCCTCTCGCTTTATCCTCTCGCTTTATCCTCTCGCTTTATCCTCTCGCTTTATCCTCTCGCTTTATCCTCTCGCTTTATCCTCTCGCTTTATCCTCTCGCTTTATCCTCTCGCTTTATCCTCTCGCTTTATCCTCTCGCTTTATCCTCTCGCTTTATCCTCTCGCTTTATCCTCTCGCTTTATCCTCTCGCTTTATCCTCTCGCTTTATCCTCTCGCTTTTCTCGCGCCTGCGGCCCTCGCCGCTCGCCACGTGGTTTATCCCCCCAAGTTGTCTCGACATCATCTGTTATTATAATAGATATATTTACAGGTCACTAACTGCCATCTTCGACAGATCCTCAGCATCGAAAGTAACAGTAAGCTTATCCCTGAAAAGGCGGACTGGTCAGTGTGATAGAACACAGTGGATACAAGATGGTGGGACTATGGGAATCAATCCCATTCTCAGACCCTCGTTGGAGTATACATTTCTCTAATCCGTACGTCTTCCCCCCTCCCCCCCCCTCCTCATATCCCTCCCTGATCAAGTAGCTCGAAGCATCTTTCGTCTGACCTACGATCTGTCTCGGACACAAGTAGGATCTCTCAACCACATAAGGAAGGTATCGTCCAAGCGGTCGACCGAGTCTCTGATGATTCGTCTGAATGGGGTTCAACAGTGGACAGAAAGTCATTGGGAGGTAAGATACAAGTGAGTGAAGATGGTAAACAAGTCATAATCACCACTTTACCTGAAAGTGATTGGTGGAGAACTCCGGAGGTTGATAGTGCTTCTGGATTAGTTTGGGGCTACAAAAGAGCGACAGGGGAAGGGTTTGAGGTTCAGTGGATTTGAAGATAGATTATGAGGTTCAAGTGAGTTTGAAAAATCTTTTTCTCTCCAAAGAATTCTTTTGCCTACCCACAGCTGTAACTCTTTTGCTCAGTAGGACTATCCATTTTTTCGCACCGTAACGCTTGATCGCTCGTTCTCTTCACATGACTACCTCTTATCTTCTCCAATCATGTGATTTAGCGATTCTTCTTAATACTCTTTGACAGCACACACCTCTTTCTCCACCCAGTTATTCATCAATCAGCCTTTGTCTTTCACATCACAATCACCGTTCTCCACTCATATTCATGGCATTTCTCTGGAGGAGGTCGCGAGACGGAGTTTTGCGATGTCATCTTCATAGACTAAGCTACACTATTGGACAGCGGGGAGGGAGTTGAGGGGATGATGATCAGGATAAAGTGGCGTCGTTGAGAGCTGACATCAGTTGTATGTTCTTTCATCTACAAATGGATAAGGCTGAAGAACAAGCGATCAAGCTTGTCTCTTTTTCTACTTGAACAACCATCAATGGGTCAAAGCCGGTCAGGAATATGATAATGAGGTTTTATGGGACGGAGTGGTAATTACTAATCCTTTTTCTGATTGGTGAGTTAAAATCATCCTTCGTCACTTCCCTTATGCATCCTCTATCTTCTATCTCTTCTTCATCGAAACACGCCCTTGCGAGAGTGAAGCTCGTATGAACATTGGTCGATTGAGTATCATAAATCATCAGGGTTTTGTTCTTTCCCACGACGAACAATGTATTGACAACAGGTCCATACAACCGCGGTCGGGAAGTAATACATATACCATCTCATATTCTCCTCCTATCCTCCGTGTGTTCCGTGGAGAGGACATGATCCGCGAGGTTAGATCTTTCACTTCGTCACGGTCGAAAGTAGTGAGCCGGGGTGAAAGTGGGGAGTACCAAACTAGTGGTAAAGAAGAGGGAGTGGGCGAGGGAGGGGGAGGGGGAAAGGGGGAAGAGGAAGTTATAGTGGGTGTAATGGGATGTTCACCCAAGGGAGGAGGAGTGAAAGCTGTTTTTAGTGAATTCAAAATGAGAGAAGGGGTTAGGGAAGTGTGAAATCTCCCATCTTTTATGTCACAGTCCCTTGGTTCATCTTCCTTAGGTGGTTCATGGTTCACACGATGAAAGAACCTCTCTCAACGTTCCTCACCATACAGATGAAATGACATGCATCCCATCTTATTCCGTATCGTGCACACGTTGTCCATGCTCTCATACTGCTCCTACTCCTACTCCTTCCTCATCAGCCAATGATCTGAATGATAATGACGAGGAACATGATGGTCCCCAGATGGAAAGTGAGTGACAACGCGTCATTAACATGAACATGACGACATGTTCTCTTTCCTCTTTCCTAAACGTTTCACTTTTCTCTTTCAACTTTGCATCTTTGTTTCAAACCACATCATCAATCATCTAAGTACTACTCTTGTCTTCATCTACAGTTATCTCATCTATCATCTAGTAAAATCGAATCGCTGTGCACTGCTCGTGTCTTGTTAGTCATCTTTACATAGCTCAACACCGCTATAACCCCATTGCCCGACCCTCGGTCATCTTTCGACTATTCTTCAACATCTTATACACACATTCAACCTTTGGCAAGCAATCAATCCGACATTAGCTTCTCATCCTCATCCGCGATACTTGAAGAGGAGATCATATAAGTATCTGGAATCTATTGGCGAAGGATCGAGATCGGTAGCATTAAAGTGATACCCGATAGAAAGGAACATACTACTAGTCTAATACTCGTTTTGGAAACTTTCTTTAACTTCAAAAAGGACTTAGGTCAACATCACTTCAGTTAATGAGAACAGTTAACATCCATTGCTCTTACTCAACACTCGACTTTCAACACACCTAATCTTCACCCAGTCGAGTATCCAGACTAAAACAAGATCCGACGACCTTCTACCAAGTTTACTTACGGAGAAAATTGAAAACCATCAACAATGGGAGTAACTTCTGAAATCCGAGATCATCTCTTATCACAACCCCCATCATTTAAAAAGAAGAAAGAATACGTATTGGAAGAATTACTCGGTAGAGGTGGTTTTGGTAAAGTTGTTAGAGCTACTTGGACACCTAGAGTTGGAGAGAAACAAGAGGTTGCTTTAAAGTGAGTAATTTTGATATTTTCTTCATCTTTTCCCTCAAAGCTTCTTTTTGTCCCTGCGCTGTTCTCTCCGTTAACGATTAATGAATCTCGCTTCATACTATGACATCACATTCGAGTGTGAAGGGTATGTATCCATAATTTTGGATAAATGAAAGTTCCAGCACTCCTGTAATCTCACTCCACATTTATCTGGTCTTCCACGGCTATAAGACAGTGGCATGATTCTAAATATCTCCATAATAGTCAACGGTAGTGCTTGTTCCGATCAGACTGGGAAAAGGGGGAAAAGAAGGAGGAGAGGGGGATAAGAGGTCGCTGATCTTCAGAATCATCCATAAAAAACTCGTCAAAGATGATATCAATTCAGTCATGGATGAAATCAACGTTTTGAAAGGATTAGATCATCCTAATATCGTACATGTCTGGGATCATTTCGAATCTCGAGATAAGTGAGTCAATTATGTTCTGTATCTCAGGCAGTGTTCCCCATTTTAACTTCTACCACCCGTTTGGTGCTACGTATACCTATTTTCCGTTTCCCTCAATTGTCTGAAGTAGGGTCAAACAGGTTTCACAACTTTAAAAAGGTGAATTAGCTGATTCCAGATATTACCTCACATTCGAACTTGCCGTAGGAGGAGAATTGTTCGACCGGATCACTCATAGAGGGAGGTTCACAGAGAAAGATGCTGTGGATTGTATTCGGTTCGTCCTCTTTTTCCTCTTCCCTCTTCTCTTTGATCTTCATCTCACACCAAACACCTCTCTCGTTGACTCATCTTTCACCCAGAACCCCCAGTATACTTTTCATCCACATCGTCTATCGTACCCATTTTTGGGAACAGGTCACATCCATTTTGCGATATTCGGACGTGGTCAAAAAGTGATTATGAGATAGCTCGATTGATTGACAAGGCCTGGAGAAAAAAGAGACTGGATGAGGGATGAGTAAGAAATACATTACTGACCACATAGACAAGTCCTCGAAGCAACCGCTTACCTCCACGCTCACAATATCGTCCATCGCGATCTTAAACCTGAGAATATCTTGTATAAAACTAAAGCTTCCGATTCACCAATCGTCATTGCTGATTTTGGCATTGCAAAACATCTAGAGCCTGATGAAGAGTTGACTGCTATGGCAGGTAGTTTAGGGTATGCCGCACCGGAGATATTGTTAGGTACGGGACATGGTGTTAAGGTTGATTGTTGGAGTATAGGGTGAGTCGCTCCGTAACTTATTTATCATCATTCTCTTCGCATCTTCATCGTCGTCATCTGCTCCACATCTTCAACATCATCGTTCTACTTCACACTTTCTTCCTCATTCACCCCACATCTTCTTCATTGACGTTCTCTCCACATCGTGTTCCACGTCATCTAGGCCACATTTGGCCCGTCATCATTGACAACACTTCATCTAAAGAAATAGTATGAAGGACAAGCTGACTTACCAACAGGGTTATTGCATATACACTCTTATGTGGCTATCCACCTTTCCGCTCGGAAGACAAACAAGAACTAGCAAAGGAAACTACCAGAGGAAAGATTGTCTTCCACGATCGATATTGGAAAAATGTTTCACAAGAAGCTAAAGACTTTATCAAAGCCATGTTACAGGTCGATCCTAAGAAACGTTTGAGTGCGGCTGAAGCATTACGACATCCTGTGGGTTTTTCGTTTTTCCTTTCCTCAGATACCTAGTTTCGTTTTTCTTTCCTTATCTGATTCCCCCATCACTTTATCCTGGTCATCCATCACTTTATCCTGGTTATCCATTACTTGATCCTGGTTATCCTTCACTTGATCCTGGTTATCCATCACATTTCGGACATATTCTCAGTTTGCGGAACTATGATAAAGTCATTTCCAGTTTCTGAACAAATCCTCACCTTCAACTTTGGCGTACCCATTATCATTGATCTTCTCCTGCCCGACCCATAGTAACACTACTTGTCGTTTCTACGTCGGATAAACCATCAAGTATTCTAAACATGATTCATGTAATGTCTAAAAACTCCATTGTCGCACATTTGCCAAAGCTCGACTTTTTGCTTACTCTCAGTGGCTCACATCTGGTCAAGCGACGGATCATGACTTATCAAGCGCTTTGAAAGAAAACTTTAACGCTAGAAGAAAATGGACAAAAGCTTTCTTAGCAGTCAACGCTGCTAATCGACTTCGATCAGCACGTTCTTCACCTACTTCATCCCTTGCTCCAACATCGATAGCTTCAGCAACTTCAAACTCCGGTAGATCATTATCAGCATCTTCTTCGAAATCTGTAGTTCCTCAAATACTTACACCTTTATCAGTCACGGAAGATGAAAGATCAGAAGGAGGTTCACCACGTTTATTACCGATCAAACATTCTCCTATTTACATGACGGAAAACCCTAATGGGGTGGTTTCTGAAGGTGAAGATGTGGATGATGGGGAAGATGGATATCATACTGCTTTGAGTGATGAAGTTGGGAATACGATACCACGTTTAATAGTACCTGTTCCTAAACGACCGGATGGTGTACCTGGTACAGTTGCGGAAACCGGGATAGTCGATGATGATAAAGAAGAAAGGCAATCTCCGAGGGTGGTTATTGATGGTTGTGAAGATGAGGATAGGGAAAGAGGGAGGAGTTCAGGGTCTGGATCGAATTTGAAAGATGGGATAAAAGGAGAGAAGGATGGTGAGGGGAAAGTTTGGGAAGGAGAGGAAGGGGAGAAGAAGAAGGATGATGATGAGGGTTCAAGAGGAAGACAGGAGATGAAGAGGGAATCAAGTTCTTCAGGAGATATTTTGAAAAGAGTTTTAAGTCGACTTCGATTAGGTCAAGGGGAATGAAATCTGGAGAATGGGTGACGTTGTACCATTTGTATTCTTATCTTCTTCGTATATACACACATCAAATATTCGTATTTATCTATAATGTCATGATCATCAGATAGATTGTAGAAATATTGTATGATGCACAGGTTGCACTTATCTTTGATCATCACACTCATTATGAAATGACATCAGCCTGTTGAAAACGTAATGGCTCAACGTTGAAGATCTTGCTAGAAGTTGAAGCTCTCGCTAGAAGTTGAACATCTTGCTAGAAGTTCTTGGCAACATCATCGCATACATACTGCACAACCCGGACCAAGGGAAGATGCTTTGATTCTTGCTTCTCAATGAATGTGGAATCTCATTTCAGTATCAATAATGGTGCTTGGCCTCGTCCTCCCACTTCCATTCAATCCGAATAGTTTATTGGTGTTGGTTCCCAAGAACAACTGAAATGTTTGATGAGTAAGAAACATCACTGTTCAAATTCCCAAACAGCAACCGACAATTTCATGAGTGATTATCAAGTAAGTAGGAAACTCCATGATTCATGTCCTCCCCTTTCTCCTTATCAAGTCATCTCTCAGCTCTTACATCATCCATTGTTGATTCTTATCAACACTGAAACACTGTGCAGAAAGTGACTTTGGTGGAGTGAGAACTCCTCTCAAGCACTGTTTTAATGTACCCTGTGAGAAAAAGCCCTCTCATTTATCCTCTCCATTCTTCATCAACCCCCTTAACGGGCTCCACCAACGTGTAGATCATCGATGAGCTAATACGATGACGAAATCTCACGCTCCGACGTGGCTCCCTCTTCTCCAAGTGGAGTGCTCCATGCTTGATCCACCTTGGATATTATGTATAAAAGATTGGTTGTTGAAGGATCACATTCAAGCACATTTCACATTTACCAAACTTAGAGATAACTCATCTTCTCTTGACGCAAACTCAAACATATAAGACTTTATCAATCACGTACAAGCAAGAAGGAACAAATAATCAATAATGACAACTAATTCCAATGCCATTGACACTGCTGATGATGCCATCCAAATGGGGATATCGCACATGCAGGTGAGTGAACCCTTACATCACTCCTGGTGCTGACAACCACCGAATAGCCTGGAACAGTTGAAGATATAACCACAGGTGTCATTACGAAGTTCATTGTGAGAACGGTAACATCAGGTATATTCACCGCCTACTGTCGAGTACAGGGCACGTTTTGGAAACTTCCTGATTCTAATGAGCGGTCTGATTGGGGTCATTTGCAATGTTCTGGTCAGGTGAGTTGACCATACCACAACAAGTCAGTTCCTGTCAAATTTTTCTTCTCACCGGATCCCTCTATTCCCATACAGTGTACTGTTTCATGACACTCTCTTCTTACACAGCAGCCTTTGTACTATATTTGCTTGTACTGTAGAAGGAGATTCATAAGTGTCTCACAGGCAGGGCTATATGTGTGTAGTTGCAAACATCAATCACTGACTTTGTAGGTGACAGTTCATGTGACTCAAGGAAATCAGCCTCCAAGTAATTATAAGAACCTTGGACAGCAGCATCTCACAACCCAGGGAGGATCTGGTATGCTAATATCCGGTGATCCGGATGAAGAAATGTCCAGGCTGAACCAATCCCTACAGGACCTGATACCCAGCATACAATCATGGACAAATGGTAATGCCGCTTATCAAGCTGTTGTTACATGTACCTTTGCATTGGAAGGAAATGAAGATATTCTGACCAACCGGGTAAACACCATTCGAGTTTTTGAGCCAGCAGCAAAGGCAGTCATGTACCACATTGGACGTGATGTTGTCAACACAATCATGTCCAGGTTCACCCCCATACAAGATGAGGTCTAGGAAAACCGTGTGGGACATGTGACAGCAACAAGCTGTGTTCCCAGGTCAAGGACACTGGAGCATAACTCAGTCTTTGTCCAGATGATGGTTGAAGCCAATTATCTGCTGGCAGAAATGATTTACAAGAGGAATGGAAGAAGCTTAGAGGAATGACAGATGAATGACATGAGTGTCTGAGATCCTTTTGGGTGCAGAGACTACTGACTTGCTTCATACATACAATGGACATGGAGCTGACCCATGGACCACTTCACCCTGTCAATCACCCTTTACTAGACGGAATGCATATACATGACTGGCAAACTACAGTCTTGATGGCTCCTATGTATGCATGTAGCATAGGTGACGCACGGAACACATGACTCCTTCGATTCCGGCACATAAGATAGCTCAACTTTGAGATTGAGGGGTCACTTGTAAACATCCAAGCTCCCTAATTGTCATAAAAAGCGTTATACTGTGGTTGAATAACAGCTGGTACTCTAGTGTTGTACTGTTATACCTCCATTCCAAGATGGCTTACGAGCCATTCCTTCCTCAAACTCCCTCTCGTTTTCTATTACGGGGTTGTTCGAATTTCATCGCACCTCATTTTGGACATGACCGGATTCCTGCGCAAAGTACTATGTGTTTAATTGATAGGGCCTGATGTGTTTGTTGCCTTCCCCCCAGTGGAGGAGACCTATCATCTCAGGGGACTCATAGACAGTTGTACGGTCTCTGTCAGGATAAATTCTCTTCTCACTACCAGATCAAGTCATTTCCCACCTCCTCCTCTTTTCATTCACAGCTTTCACCTTTTTTCTACAAGTAGCTTGAAGGCATGATCCAAAGGTGAATGGAGAGGATTTCAAGAGCATGGTCAACCGGTCAAGTGGACTATCAAACGAGACGCTCCATTGTCTATGGTGCGGACGGGGTTCTAATGTGAACGAGACGGAATTCCTCGGATCTCCCGCAGTAGAGCGGGATGCCGTCCTACCACTACTTTCGTATAGAAACGGCTGGATCTCCATTATTTTGCCACTCAACATATCTCTCAACCTGACGGATTTGTTACCACTCTACCCGTAGACCAGTCGAGTTCAGGTTTCATTGTTAGAAGGAACCTAACAAGCCGTGTTGCTCAATGTCCTCATCATCCACCACCAAGGGTTACAACGGTCCTGGTGGTTTCTACATTTCCAGGAACCTCAGTATCAGGATTGATGAGCCAAAAACCCAAGTGTCACGAACTACGTCGTGACACCTCGATTACTCCACCAACAATGACCCTCCTTTGGCCATCAAAACCCCATCACGCCTTAACCTCTTTACTCTACACGTAACTCAGGACTTCTGACACCAAGTACGGCGAAGTTAGACGGAGTTAGGCTAAGTAGGGACAATGGGAGCAGAAGTACGGCGAAGTTAGACGGAGTTAGGCTGAGTAGGGACAATGGGAGCAGAAGTGCGGCGATGTTAGGCTAAGTAGGGACAATGGGAGCAGAAGTGCGGCGATGTTAGGCGGAGTTAGGCTAAGTAGGGACAATGGGAGCAGAAGTGCGGCGATGTTAGGCGGAGTTAGTCGAAGGAGGAAGAGGATGGCCGAGGGCTCGGGGAAGTTGGACGAAGTGCGTTGAAGTACGTCAAAGCGCGAGAGGGTTGGATGAACGTCTAGGAGGAGTAGATAATATTAGCTGAGAAGATCGCTGAAGTTCTTCAGCGATCCTTGATTGTTGTCAGTAGTAAAAGACAAATAGAGATAGCTATACATCGAGATACATCGCCATCAATAGAACAAAGCCTTAGTTAGAGTAACTACGCCGAAGTACGCCGTAGTTACACTCCTTTCGACGTCTGCGCCCTCCTGGTTGGGTGAGACATCGACTCAGAAGTGTGAAGTTAGCCGAGGTTCGTCGACCGTCGGTCTATAAGGAAGAAGTTGCTCGACGGCCGTTACAGTATCAAGGATCGCTCTTACCGACGACCCGTGCGAACCTCGGAGAAGTACAAAGATAATATGGAACCAGAAAGAAGAATTACACGAGGGATGAGTAGGGATGGAGACAGGATGGAGGAGAACGAGAGGAGAGCATTGGAGGAGCTTAGCAGAGCAATGGGGCAGGACCTTGGAGTGGAGGATAGTGTGGGGGGATCAATTCAAGGAGATGAGTTCGTTCCACCGGTGCCTTCTAACCCTCCTTCTCCTCCGTCTAATGCTCTCCCACCTGTGGGATCCCCACTTGGGTCAGACCAAACCCCACGCCCAAGAGAAAACACTGGAAGTACGGCGAACTTGGGAGAAGAAGGAACACAAGGGGTGGTGTTGGCCTTGATGCAGATGGTGGCGAATATGAACAAAGACATGATGGAGGAGAGAAGGCGTAGGGAGGAATGGGAACAGAGAAGAGAAAGGGATACAGTGGGCGGGATTGCAGAAGGGATATCAGAAGGAGTGAGGTACGCCATGGGACGGCAAACTTCGGCGACCCCAAGCGTAGTGGGCGAACAACGGAAGGGGATAAAGCTACCTAACCCAGACCTCTGGAGAGGAGATCGGAACAAGTTAACCGCCTTTCTGTCTGAGTGCGACGTACATTTCGAATTGAACTCTCATCTTTTCCCCGACGACACTAAGAAAGTCTTTTTCATGATCTCTCATCTACGCGAAACACCTCTTCTTGCAGTGCAGCCCGATCTATCCAAAAGACCTCTTCCTGAGTACCTCACGACACACGATCAGTTCGTTAAGTACCTCAAGACTAACTTTGGTGATCCAGACGAAGAAGGAACTGCGGCCCGACAACTTAACGACCTCAAGCAAACCGGGTCTGCTTCGGACTACTTCTCCGCCTTCCAGCGACATGTTGCGATTCTTAAGTGGTCTGATGATGGAAACCTAGTTGACCGAGCCAAGAAAGGACTAAAATCGCACCTTCTAGATGAAATTGCAAGACACGGTAGATCGTTTGGGACTGTGAAAGAGCTATTGGAGTTTGTGATTCCCTTGGACAACCGCCTGTGGAGGAGACAAGTGGAGAAGGAGGCAGAGAGGAAAAGGGAAGGAGGGATAAGGACAACGACAGTGGTGGAAAGTCAGAGGACGGAGAAGAAAGAAGAGAAGAAATGGGAAAAGGGGCAACTTTCGGCGCAGGGCGGTGTCCAGGCGGCTATGATGTCGACGGTGGTAAAGAGTACACCGCCAAACATCGACGAAGTTCGCCGAAGATGGCCTAGGCCGAGCTCCGATCTGAGGGAGACAAGGAGGAAGGAGGGGAAGTGCACCGAGTGTGGTGAAGCAGGACATTGGCTGAAGGAATGCCCTGTAAGGGAGGCTAAGGTTAAGGTTGGACTGTTGCCTCCATGGGGGGAGAAGTTCGGAGAACGTGGTGGAGGATCGGGAGGGAACGCAGTACCTCTCGGACAGAGGAGGAACTTGAATGCGGTTGGAGGAGAAGTAGATTTGGAAGAGGACCAGGGAAAAGAAGAGGACCTGTCGCAGTAGGCGAGGCTCGGCGGGTCCGCCATATTCTCTCGGCCACCATTCCCAAACCCATAAAAGAAACACAGCTGATGGAGCCAGAGGATTGTGAATACAAAAATACACCACTCAGTACCCCTTGTTCATGCAATGTCGATAATCATCTCCTCATCCCTTCCGTTTCCAGAGATCAACCTAAATCGGACATTTTCATTAATGGAATAAAGCTAACTACGCTCAGGGACACTGGAGCTACTTGTTCATATATAAGCCCTAGGGCAGCAGCGAAGATAGGTGTAGAAAAGAGGCGATATCAGGTGAGCGTACCCGTTCACATGTTCGACGGCTCGGTGAGTGTCGCTGGACCCATCACCGAGTTTGTCGAAGTCGGATTTAGTTTGACGAAGGACGCCGAAGTGCGATCTGTTTGTCTCGATGTAACAACGCTCTGCGACGCAGATGTTGTGATAGGGTGGGATTGGATGAGGAAGGAAGGGGTTGTCCTTGATGGAAGAGACAACTCGGTGAAATTTCCCATCCCAACCCCACCAAGTGCGGCGAAGTTAGCGGCCATAGGTCTGCCAACTCCGACGGACGCGATAGATCTCCGAGACAAAGATGATCAGGATGAACTGAGTCCGGAGGAACAGGAGGAATTGTATCAGGTGGTTCCCGAACAATACCACTCGTTCATTGATGTCTTTAACCCAAGGAAGGGAGGTGAGGAATTACCTCCCTCGAGGAGCTATGATTTGGAGTTTGATCTTAAGGAGGGGGCGAACCTGAAGGTTGCTCCACTCTACTCGCTTGGAGAAGATCAGAGAAGTGCGCTGAGAGACATCCTAGATCGCGAAATGTCGGCCGGAAGAATTCGACCCAGTAATTCGCCCTACGGATCACCGATGTTCTTGGTACCGAAGAAGGCAAAAGGTCAATGGCGAATGGTCATTGACTACCGAAAGTTAAACGAGGCAACGATACCCGACGCCTATCCTCTGCCTCTGATCGGCCAGATAACCGAAGAGCTGGGAAGAGCGAGGTACTTCAGCAAGTTAGACCTAATTGGGGCTTATCAACTCCTACGAGTAAAGGAAGGTCATGAACACCTGACAGCGTTCAGGACGCAGTACGGTATGTTCGAGTCTCTTGTTGTCCGAGATGGCCTACGGAATGCTCCCGCTGTGTTTCAGCACTTCTTGAATGAAAGTTTTCGAGAGCTGCTGGGAAAGGGAGTAGTAGTCTACATAGATGATATACTCATCTACGGTCAAACGTTGGAAGAACTGAGGGGAACTACGGCGAAGGTGTTTGAAGTGCTTCGGAGGTCGAATTTGTTCGTTAAAGCCAGTAAGTGCGAGTTTGAGAGAGATTCGGTAGTCTTCCTGGGGTTCGTGGTTTCACAGAGGGGAATTTCCAGTAACCCGGATTACATCGATGCTGTCGTATCTTTTCCCCGTCCTAAGAACTTGCGAGAGAGTAGGGGATTTATGGGAGTTGTCAGTTATTATCGGCGTTTTGTCCCCAACTTCTCCAAGAT